TCCCCTACCCTCATGCTCTCAATTAGCTCCGGAGTTCATGCCACTTCCCATTCCTGGGGTCCATTTATCCCTTAGAGTCATTCATGATTTCTAGTTTCTTTGTCTCCCATTATTTTTTAAATTATTTTTGTGGTGTGTGTGTGTGTGTGTGTGTGTGTGTGTGTGTGTGTGTGTGTGTGTGTTGTGCCTGTGTGTGTGTATGTGTATCTGTGTGTGGTGTGTATATTGTGTGTGTGTGTCTGTCTGTTTGTGTGTGGTGTGTGTCTGTGTGTGTGTGTGTGTCTGTGTGTGTGTGTGTGTGTGTGTGTGTGTGTATTGTGTCTATGTGTGTGTATGTGTATGTGTATCTGTGTGTGGTGTGTATATTGTGTGTGTCTGTCTGTCTGTGTGTGATGTGTGTGTGTGTGTGTGTGTGTGTGTGTGTATGTATATGCATCTGTGGCACTTACCTGTGTATATGTAGAGTCCAGAGGCTGACATCAAGGACCTTCCTCTGGTGCTCATCCCCTTTTTTCTCAAATAGGATCTCTCACTGAACCTTGTGCTCCCCTTTTCTGCTGTACTGGTTTTCAAGCCAACCCCAGGGATCCTCTTGTCTCTGCTTCCTCAGTGCACCAAGCTTTTCCCATGGATTCCAGTGATTGAACCAGGTCCTCATGTTTGCATGACAAGCCTTTTACCAACTGATGTATCTATCTCCTAAGCCTCGGCTTTCCCATCTTTAAAAGAATTTATATAGGAGCTAGGGAGATGGTGGGTGTGAGTGAGTATGAGTGCTTGCTGTACAAATGCCTGAATGTGGATCCCCAGCATCCACATAAAGCCCAAGGAAGGGCCCGTGAATCTGCAACCCCAGCACAAAGTGGGGCAAAGATAGATAGACCATTGGAGCTCATGGGCCTGGCAGCCTAGCCGAAAAGCAGCAAGCTTCAGGTTCAGCGAAACAGCCTGCCTCAAAGGAACAAGATTGATAGAGCAGGACACTTGGCATCCTCTTTGTCCTCTGTACCCATGTGCACATGCATGTGACCCAGCACATACACACATGTGTACATACCATATACATACATACATATGCATAGACCACATGCATACATGCACGTGTATGTACCACACATACAAACATTTTTAAAGATTTATTTACAGAGGGTGCGCCATGCATATTTATGCACCACATGTGTGCCTTGTGCCCCTGGAGCCCAGACAAGGCAGTGGATACCCTAGAACTGGAGTTACAGGCCTGATGTGGGTGCTGGAAACTGAACTTGGGTCCTCTGCAAGAGCAGCAAATACTCTTAACCTCTGAGCTGTCTCTCCAGACCCACATACAAGCTTTTTTATAGACATTTCTAAAATAATGAAACGAGGCATTTACATTAAAGTTCATTTCTTTCAGTTTAAAAAAAAATGGGTTTAATGGATGTCAATAAGGAGGCCTCTGCACTCCAGGGCACCCCTGGTAGTGGATTAGCATTTTCCCTTCTCAAAGAAGGGACTTTGAGAGCCATCCCACATGAAGGGATACACTCTGGCCCTGGACACATGGGGAGGGGCCCAGGCCCAGCACAGGAAGATTTGGTGGACTTTGCAGAGCCCCCCTGCCTGGGGAGTGGTGGGTGGATGGAGTGGGTGTGGGGGAGGAGGGTTGGGGGTAAAGGGAGGGAGAGGGAGAAGGGACTTACATGTGAAACAAGCTTGTTCCCTAACTTGAATTATTAAAAAAAAAATCTGTTCTAAGGAACAGATGAAACAAAAAAAAGAAAATGGGTTTATAGGTAGGTTTTTATTTAAAATACTTACCCCAAGCATGTCTGATTCACTTAAAGTAAATTAATGAAGATGGAGAAATGCTAAGTCTTTGCCCCTGTAAGACCCTCAGAAAGCTGAGGCTTCCAGAATCTTAGCCCAGGACGGCGGCCACCCCAAACACAGAATGGAGGCGAAAGCTTGATGCAAACTGCATGAGGCTTTATTGTAGTTTAACGAGCTAACCCCATGTTAGCTCGGGTCTTTCACCCACCCGCCATGGTGGATGGCCAGAAAGACGGCTTGAAGCTGCTGCGCATAGATCTTTATAGGGCAGCGTAAGGGGAGTGTCTAGGGGTACGCACAGGCTAACGATTGGTGTGCCTCCAGGCTTGGAGGGCTTGCCCTGTGTTGATTGGTCAACTGGTTGTTATGGCCCATAGGTCCTCCCAGGGTGGTTGCTATGCTCTCCACGTCATTGCTGTGTGCTAGTCCGTAAAGCACACCCAGGGTCGTAAAGCATAGCGCCACCAGCTAACCTCTGATTGGCTCCCTGTCACGAGGCAGGCATCTGACTTTTTAGTGTCTAGGTCAAGGTCATAGAAACACGTGTTCGGCCGTTATGGCTGCCAAAAGGGAAGCCGGTTCCTTCACCCCAAAGTTAAATATTTGGAGGAAAAGGTTAACTTCCACATTATGGAAGTATAGCCTCACAAAGTTAAACCTAAGACAGCTGAGCCCCTTCCTAGCGTCAGGTCATGTGAAGGGGAGGATGGGGCCACCGGTGAGCATGTGTGCGGCCGTGCACAGGGATATGGGGAGAAAAGTCCTCCTGGGGGCCTGGGAGGTGCTGCTGTTTGGAAAGATAGCTGTTACAGTTGCCCCTCATTTGCAGGCAGACATTTATGAAATGATTGTGCTCCCCTGAAAGCTAGCTTCTACATAATTCAGGGTTGTCCTGGATCTCTCTCATCAGAGAGGAAGAAAGCCATATGAATTATTTACAGGGTACTAAATTATTTCCTTTTATGAGCTCCAACTTTGTTTTTGTCTCTGCAAACTGAGATTTTGTTTATCCATGAATAGTTTTCCCTGGGGCATGAAAAATATGACTCTTAAATTATGAATGAGGCTTTTTTGTTTGAGTCCATGTTAACTAAAACATGCAAAATAAACTATGTTTTTCATTAGATCCCTTTCAGCTCCCCACAAAAACAGAACCAACAAAAGAAAGAGCCGTTCCACCAGCGCCCACCAGGAAGCCTACTGTAATTCGAATCCCAGCCAAACCAGAAAAATGTAAGCTCCTCTCTGTCTTCCTAATTTACTCCTTCAAGAGCCTAGGAGAAATCTGAATGAACTTATCAATGTCTGCTTTTGAAATTATGTATAACCTGCTGTTTGTTACTCATAGTCACAGACATCCTGGAGCAAGGTGTTCTATCACAGTTCTGTGGAGAATTCTCACCATATATTTGTATTCTGTTTCCCTTTAAGGTTGATTTTAGACAAAGAGAATAGGAGACTATGACCCTGAGAAGCATAGTATTCTGTATCACCAGTGCCTCTGGTAAAGATGGGTGGGGAAGCAATGAAACTAATAGCAAATGAAGTTAGATATGTCTATCGTGGGTATATTGTTCTAGTCAGCTCCGTCTTCATATGGCGATGCATGAATTGTGCAAAGAACTGTACCCAAAAGCTTTAGAAACATACAACAATTATACTTCTTAGGATGACTGAATTGCAAAATAAATGTCATTTTAAAGTTGGTATAACACTAGATTTTTTTGTATACTTCCTTAGTTGGTTTTTTTAAAAAAAATCATACAGTAAGTGAAATTTTGTATCTGCTTTAATTGTACTTCAAAAAGAAATTTGATGTTTAGGGTTGGGGTGTGACTCTGTTAGTAAAATGCTCACTTAGCATGGTGGAAGCCCTGGATTCAATTCCTGGAAGTGAATAAAGCTGGGAGAGATGGTGCATACCTGTAATCCTAGCACTGAGAAGGTGAAGGGCTGGAGAGATGGTTCAGCAGTTAAGAGCACTGGCTGCTCTTCTAGAAGTCCTGAGTTCAATTCCCAGCAACCACATGGTGGCTCACAACCATCTGTCAAAATCTAGTACCCTCTTCTGTCCTACAGGCATACTTGCAGGCAGAACACTGTATACATAATAAATGAATAAATAAATACTTTCTTTAAAAGAAAAGGGCTAGGCGGTGGTGGTGTATGCCTTTAATCTCAGCACTCGAGAGGCAGAGGCTGGAGAATCTCTGTGAGTTCAAGACCAGCCTAGTCTACAGAGCAAGATTCCCAGGCTCCAAAGCTACACAGATAGATAGATAGATAGATAGATAGATAGATAGATAGATAGATAGATAGATAGATGAAGGCAAGAGGATCAGGAGTTCAAGGTTATCTTGGACTACACAATGAGTTTGAGACCAGCCTGGACTAGAGAGACACTAAGGAAAAGAAAGGAAGAAAAGAAAATCTGTGGATTCGGGAGCAGTCCCCAGCATTGCTGAAAATCATCACTCAGCTCTCCAGGAGCCTCTGCTTTCATTCCTGACTGCAGTGCTTTTGCGTGGTCCTGAGGTGGGAGGTGTCGTTGCCTTTGTCTGACGAGAGGTACTTCAGGCATGTGGGGTACGATGTATCAAGAGCTGGAGTGCCCCAAGAGTGTACAGGAGCATATACTTGAATTTAGGGGACTGGCTTTTCTCTAAAATATTACCGAGGAGCATCATATTGGTTTTGGTCTCTTGGTGGTTTTGTTATTAACCGATAGATAGCACTCAGCCAGTATCAAGAAATTGAACTGAGTTGCTGTGAAAAATGAGCAAAAAGTCAGGGCTCTGAAATTCCAAAATTACAACAGGTCTTGCTTCTTTGAAGGTTATATCATAGTGTTAATTGAGGAAATGATGGCATAATCGCTTTTGACAGTGTGATAGTCAGAAAGGTATAAAATTATAGCTTTGGGTTATTCGACTGTTTGCTATTACCTTATAATTGTGTTCTTGATTCAATAGGCGTAGTAAAATATAAAGATCATGAATATTATAGGAACCTCATGTGGGTTCTAGGTTGACCTTTTTTTGACTGGCTAAGGATGGAATCCAGCCCTGTCTTGTGGCTTACACCGAGCTCTACTCTCTAATGCCAGTGCCCCCAAGACCACCTCTAAGTCAGTGAATCATTAGGACTCCTCACAGGGTTCAGTATAAAGGTTATAATTTATTACTGCAGAAGTAAATGAGACAGAATCTACCCTGGGGAAAAGCAAGTGGGGTATGATGTGACAGAACCCGGGTATAAGCTTCCAGGAATCTTCTAGGGAAGTCACACAGGGCATCCTCCAGTTGCCCTACAATGAGTTAGGACAATACACAAAGTGCTGTTAAATAGAGGAACTTCCTGCAATGCTTTGCCCACTTTTGTGACTGGGACTAGTTACATAACCACCATTAGAAACCGAACAGATTTGGGCTGCAGAGATGGCTCAGCTCTTTCAAAGGTCCCGAGTTCAATTCCCAGTAACCACATGGTGGCTCACAATCATCTGCAATGAGATCTGGTGCCCTCTTCTGGATGCAGACAGAACACTGTATACACAATAAATCTTAAAAAAAAAAAAAGAGAGACAGAGAAAGAAAGAAAGAAAGAAAGAAAGAAAGAAAGAAAGAAAGAAAGAAAGAAAGATTCTAAAATTCCAGATGTCTGGAAAGTAGGTGATGGTGCATGCCTCGAATCCCAGCACTCAAGAGGCAGAGGCAGACAGATCTCTGTGAGGTCAAGGCTACTCTGGTCTATAGAGTGAGTTCCAGGACAGCCAGGGCTACACAGAAGAAACCTGTCTCAAAAAAAAAAAAAAAAGAAAAGAAAAAAAAAGTGGTTGGTCCCATCTTCCAGACCAAGTTCTGAGTGCAAGCAAACAGCAGAGCTTGTGAGCAGGCATTCCTCTAAGGATGGGCAGTGTCAGGCCTACTGTTTACTTATCCTAAACTGGGTTAATAACTTCTACTGAAGAAATGATAACTCTGAAATCATGAAAGTATAAGCTAAGGAACCACCTTAAATTATTTTCCAAACAAAGCCCCAGGAACTGTTAAAAAGATGAATCTGCCCTGCTGGGTGTGAGAGAATTGACTTGCCAAAACAGCCTCCAAAGAGTTAGTTCCAGCAAAAATTAGTGCAATTTTTAAAATTGTTTGTTTCTTAATGGATGTTTTGCCAGCATGTGTGTCTGTGTACCATGTTCGGTAGTACAAGAGGAGACCAGAACAAGATGTCAGGTCCCCTGGAACTGGAGTGAGAGATGACTGTGAGCTGCCATGTGGGTCCTGGGAATCGAACCTGGATCCCCTGGAAGGTCACTGAGCCATCCTCCAGCCCCTGCTGGTATAATTTGTTTGTTTGTTTGTTTGTTTTTCAAGACAGGGTTTCTTTGTATTCCTTTGGATCCTGTCCTGGAACTCTGTAGACCAGGTTGGCCTTGAACTCATAGAGCTCTACCTGCCCCTACCTCCCAGGTGCTGGGACTAAATTCATGCGTCAACACCCGGCACTGTTTGTACAATTTTTAAACAATGTGTTTATACATTAGAGGGAAAAGTCTATGGTTTCTGGTGTCTACAGAATTTGGAATGGACAGGGAAGAAATGAACAGCTTTGAAGTACAAGGTCCTTTGTAGTCTTTAAACCTGTCAGCTGCTTCCCCTGGAACCCGTTTGTCCTAAGATATCCTCCCCAGGGTATAGACGCTCCTTCAGGCCTTTGCCAGATTCCTTTACTGGCTGGATTAAAATTGGAACTGTATTTCTGAAGCCCATCACACCCACACTAGGTTCTCCCGGTGCCCTAACTGTAAGTAAGCCTCCAGCTCATTTCTTGCTTAGGACTACAGTAAACTCCTAAATAGCATAGTCCATTTCCTTGTGAGAATGAGGAACTGCCACTGTGGGAGGGATGCAGAAGGTGACTGACTTGGATAGTCCTGTGTGTCTTCATCCCCAGAGCAGCCCTGCCTGTCACTACCAACACTTGCCCATCTTAAATCATTGTTTTCCTAGTAGCTGGCTTGGACATTTTTCTCCTTTTGAGAAAGTTTTCCTGTCTGTGGATAAAAGAGACCTGACAGATCTTCCTCTTGTTAGAGGTTTTTCACTGAAGCTGGAAATTTGATCAAAGGAGAATTCCCATACACTTTTAGTAGTGACACCAGATATCTAAAAGGTAGCTTTAGCTTCCTGCAATATGTTACAGTCATCCCCTCATGAGGTATTCCTGCACACAGATTTTAATTATCAGGCAATAATTAAATCTAATCATCTCTATTTTCTTTCTTTAAAGTAAGTTGGGAGTATTACTGAGCTAAGTGTGTGGTTGGGATATAAAGGTATTGTTTCTGTAATTGAGGCTAATTATGGCCATTAACCTAAATTATCAGAAGTATTTAATTATTTGTGGATGGGGGGTTGAGTACTCCACCTATGAAGGACCATGTCTTACTAGAATGAGCACGTGCTTTGGGTTCAAACAAACAAACTTGACAATTACTGACATTAATAAATTAAGTAGCTCAGTTTTCTTAATTTCAGCTTCTGTAAAATAGGTAGCATATTATATAGTATGAGGTAATGCTGTGTCTGTCCTGGTCACCATGGTAGCCTCTATGCCCCAGTGGCTACTATGTGCTAGAAATGTGCCTAGCACAACTAAAGAACAAAAGCTTTAACATTATTTCACTTTAAGGAAGATTTAAATCTAAATTGCCACATATAGTTACCAGTTATTTATTTGTTGACCAGACAAATCTGATACAGGGATGATGGTTGCAATGCCTAAGTCAGTGCCTGACACATCATTCTTAGCAATGCTATCCCCCCATGTGACACGTAATATGTTAGCTCATTCTGCAATTTTCTGAGGTCTGCTGAGGGCTCTTTATTGTTACTTAACTGCCTAGCGCTGTGTGTGGCTCTCTTCTGCCAGCCATTTTCCTAAGGAGCCCAGCTGCATTCAAGTTGACATCATATGGAATCCTGGGCCAGCCATTGCTGGTGACTTCTGTCTTCTATCTTTTTCCCTAGGTTTACACGAGGGCCCACAAGGTCCACCTCCTCTTCCTTCCGAAAAGCCTGTTGGGAACACTTACAGTACAGTGTCTGGAAAGATCAGTAATGCGGACAGAACTAGACACCCGGTAAGTGTCCTGAGAGGTTGTTAGGCTGAAGGCAAAGTTCTGAACTGATTCTAAATCTTCAGCTGCTGCTTAAATTATTTTACCATTGGTTTGATTTTTAGAAATATTTTATTAGAACCCATTTGCTAAACCTCATGTACTTACTTAATGTTATATTCAATATTTTACAAGTCCCTGTAGAAGGATTGGGTTCATTTGTTGTACATCATATAAAGTAATTTCTCCTGTACCAATACAATGGCATTGTCTTTTATATGACACAGGAATAATAATGAAGATGTTACTAAAACTTCCAAAAAAAGCTTTAATATTTGTAGAAATAGATTATGTCAAATTGTCGAGTTTTGTTTAAAACACTCAAATCTATTTTTATTAAAAATAATAATGATGATAACAATTTAAGATAACTACCCTAAGAATTTTTATTCTGAAGTTTAAGACATTTTTTAAATTGAAATACAATGCTTTTCTATACCTTTGTTAACATACCTAGGACCTTTTATGTAAGTATTTTAAATTTCAACCTTCATATTATTCCCTCGTGCATTTTTAAAAATTTCCTCCTGATGGGCAATCTTTATGGCTTGTTTCAAGAGAAATCAATTCTTAAAGTCTTTAAACCAATTCAGCTCAATTTTTGTAATAGTTTTACCCTGTGCATTAACTGTGCTCATCATACAAGCAAACCCATCCAATCTTCTAGTGAAGAGAAATTTCTTTGAAAAAGACATTAAATTAAATTAGCCAGTACCAAGTTAATGAGATTTTCTGTAGAATGAATTAAAATTTAGTGATCATTTGTATCTTCAAAGTACTTGATAATAAATTTTTATTAAAACTGGGCTAAGAAAACCAAAAAGCAGAGAGTAGGGCCCTTTCCATACTGTAACCCCAAACTCCTGTGGAAGAATAGTTGCTTGCAAAGATCTCAGGCTCCCACTCTCAAAGGATCCTGGATGGAGCTGAGAGAGCATGATGAGCAGATGCCCTCTCCAGTGACTGACGTGATGGGGTCTGTGAACAACAGAGCTAAGATTATCACCACCGTGTCAGCAGTCCAAGAGCAACACGTACATTTAAAAGCAAACAAGTTAGGATAAACTGCACCAACCAAAGAGCTCCTGTGTTCACACCTACATCTCTGCCTCACATGAACATGATGGAAACCCTTCCCTGCATCCATCCCAGGGGGCATCAGAGCCACCTGCATCCTCATCTATGCAGACCATAGTAGACACACTGAGCCTGAAGAAAAGGGCATGCCAAAACAGATTATAAATTCAGTGATATGCCTGAAGTTACAAGTATAGATTTTTAGAGACTAGGCTCAAACACATGCCTGAAAATTTTGTTTTGAGAATTGTAATTATTGAATTTATTTAGATCAGAGGCCATAAGGCTAAAGGTAAAGGGGAGGACCTCTAGAAAGTGTCAGTGTCACCAGACTCTGTTGGCGCAGGCCTTTAATCTTAGCACTTGGGCAACAGGCCTGCAGATCTCTGAGTTTGAAGCCAGCCTGGTCTACAGAGTAAGTTCCAGGACAGCCAGGGCTACACAGAGAAACCCTGTCTTGAAAACAAAACAAAGTATCAGTGTCACAGACCAGGAGGGTAGACAAAATTCATCTATTTTTCCCTAACCAGAGTGCTAGGAAAGTTTTTATCTGGTTCTGGTGGCTACAGTTGCCAAACCTCACTTCTGTTACTTAAATGATGGACTTTAAGGTTCCATCCAGAGCCACTGGAGCTGAGAGCTCTCTGGCCTGTCCCGAAGCATCCCCTAAAGAAACTACCAACTCTATGGTAGAGTCGGGAAACCTGCGTGATTCATGTCAATCCAAGCACACAGACCAGAAGTGTGTGTGCAGTGGCAAGCTGATTTTAAACTCATTCTAAGGAGTGTCAGCTCCTGCAAAACACACCTAGGCCAGTTGCTCCACAGTCCCAACACACATGTAATAAACATGTGATCTTGAGAGAAGGAGCAATATGTCCCTTTTTTAAAATGCCACAGAAACCTCGTAATCCCCGGGTGTGGTGACACTCACCTGTTACCCTAGCTCTTGGAGAGACTAAGACAAAAGAATTGTGAGTTCCGTTCGCCTCCAAGCCGTGCAGCAAGTTCCCGTCTCAAAAAGAAAAGGAGGAAAAGGAATTTTTCTAAAATTAAAGTATGATTCGAATGTGAAAATATGCCATCTATAGAGATGCTACAAGCAGAAAACCACCTCTGCCAGGCCCTTAGGCAGCCTCTAAGATGCCAAAGTTCCAGGGTCTCAGAACTAGAAAGAACTAAAAAGATACAGAAAAGCTTCACAGTCTGTGCGGATTGCTGCAGAGGGAGACATCTGTAATCAGTGGTCTCCTAAGACTGTCGGCAGAACCTGGGCACCAACCCAGGTTGAGCAAACACTAAGATGACTGCAGCAGTAGCGGCCACCTCTTCTCAGTGTGGGAGATGTTGCATATGACAGTGCCTTTCTTGTTCCAACTTGAAGCCTGTCAAAAGTGGGAGATCAAAAAGATACTTTTTAAATTTCTCATAAACATGCCGGCACTGGAATGGGATGCATCTCAGTTGTAGTCAAGTCTTGCTGAAAACAAATGAGAGAAGGAAAAAAAGCCTTGGCACACCAGACTGCAGCTAACATTTGTTATTTCCATATCAAAGTTACACATTAATATTTTTGCTTAAGTTTCCCTTCAATATTAAGGTACCTCCATAACTAATTTTGAGAAAGATCAATAAAAAATTCTCCTTTCCTGCTAAGGCTTCTTTGCTTTAATTTTAAAGGTGGCCAAGGAAAGACATGATTTTATCATAGCGATATTGTCAGAAAGAATAATGGGCAGCAGTGTATTTATAAGGCGAGAGTTATACTCTGGAATATTGCAGGGTTTATGAGCTGGTGGCTTGCTTCACTACATTAACTGAACTCATTAGTGAAACCAAGTTTTAAGGGCAGGCTTAATTTGTTTTTTAAAAAATGAGATTTTAAAACATTGGAGCAAGTTTAAATCATCATCATTATTGGCGATTAATCACTTGGTATTTAAGGAAGTGTTGTAAATAACGTGAATTTAAAAATTGTGGAAAGAAGTTTTAACTCATTTGTTACATGGATGACACAGTTTGAATTTGCCCAAAGATTCCTAAGCAATAGCTAAATAATTATTAATGCAATGTAAGTTTAAAGGGCTGGAAATTTCCTCCTTAAAGTCTTAGAGACAGCATTTCATGGGTGTGCATTGGGGTCTTAAAACATAGGAAAGGGAAAGTTGATATTGGTAGTGAGTTATTTCAATTTTCCAATTGATAAAAACAATTTAGTTAGGACTTTTTACAAAAGAGAAGAACAAACAGTGCTGTTTGGGCTTTGAGGTGTTTTGTTTCTCATTCAGCAGAAGAATGATTTCCCGGTCCACAAACATGTGTTCTGGGGGCTGGAGAAATGACTCTGTTAAGAGCACTGCTGCTCTTTCAGAGGACCTGAGTTTGATTCACAGCACCCACATAGCAGCTCACAACTGTCTAACGCCCTCTTCTGACCTCTGTGGGTACCAGGCACACACATGAAGCACAGACACACATGCAGGCAAAGCACAATACACATAAAATAAAAATAAATGCTTTAAAAAAAAAAAGTGTTCTGAAAACCTTTGAAACAGCCGAGCCTCTCCCCTGAAGAAACCTCTATTTGTTCCCCCCACTCCCAAATTCTCTTGCATTGGTTCATTGCATTCAGTCACTGCATTTGCTCACTGCATTGCCTCACTGCACCAGCTCACTTCATCCGCCTCACTTCATTCACCTCACTGCGTTCATTCACTGTACCAGCTCACCACACCTGCCTCACTGCATCAGCCTCACTGCATTTGTTCATTGCATTCACCTCACCAGTTTGCCTCACTGCATTGCCTCACTGCATTGCCTCACTGCATCTGGCTTGTTGTATCCAGCTCACTGCATTGCCTCACTACAAATGCTTCCTGCATAGGCTCCCTACATTTGCTCACTGTGAAGGTCCACTGCATTTGCTCACTGCATTGCCTCGCTTGCATTTTTCCAGTCCCCTTCTTCACTCTTCCCCATAAAGCCCTTGTCAGCCCATGTATCCTGTCTGATGTCTGGTGAAATCCCTGTCTCCCTGCCCTTCTCTCTCCTTGCATGTCTTCCTTTCTTCTGCTCCTTAAGTTTTGGGTTTTGTTTTTTTGTTTTTTTGTTTTTTTTTTTTTAATGTCCTCAACTTCTTTAGTGTAAACCTGACTGCTTGTTTTGAAGCCATCCAGTGAGGAGATTTTACTGTCCAAGGCAAAACAACTACCCACTTACTCTCAGGTTTAAACTCACGATTGTTTGCTTTCTATCATAATTGAGATGAAGAAATGCCATATATTAAAATTGAAGCAAACTCTAGCAGGAAAGGAGAAAACTACCAGCTAGGGCACCCGACCCCCTCTTCTGTCCTCTGAGGGAACCAGGAACACATGTGGTGCATAGACATACATGTAGGAAAAGCAGTCATACACATTAAAAAAAAGTTTTTTTAAAAAATATTGCTTTATGGGCTTGGCATGGTAGTGCATGTCTTTAACCCCAGCACTCTAGAGACAGAGACAGGTAGATCTCTGTGAGTTTGAGGCCAGTCTGGTCTACATATTTCCAGGCCAGCAAGGGCTACATACATGAGACCCTGTTTCAAAAATAAATAAATAAAAATAACATGTATGTGTATGTATGTATGTGTATGTATAAATAGTACTGAGAGTCCTTCTTGGCTGCTTTCTGTAACTTCACAGCTTTTCTACTTAGAGACTCACCCAAAAAGTTGATCCCAGTTCCTCTTGCAAACTCTTGTTTTAGGTAGTCTTAACTAAAAAGCCTTCTGTGACATTTATAGGAACTGGAGCAAGCCAGTGAATCAGGAGGCTTGGGACATGGACCCCCCAGATTACCACCAAGGTAGGTAAAATGTGGGAAAGTTGGAGGGAATCAAATGCCTTGGAGAACTGGCCCTTGTTTTCTGTCCAGATGCAGGGCTGTGAGCCTTAGATCTTGCCTTGGAGAGAAACTCACGAGTCTGCCAGGCCACCAACCCACAGTCTGCTTGGGACAGCAGGTTATAGAGCTCTCATCTTTTCTTCTTTCAACGAGGTCCAAACACCTACAGAGCACAAACATGAGTCTCTGATACTGTTTCCAAATAAACAAGACAGCTTTCCAAACTGAAATAGTTCCTCTGCCGGAATCCCTTGCAAACACCCTTCTGTTAGGAGGGGCCAGCATGTTTCTCAGCATCACTGAAGGGAACTCAGAGGTGGTCTATACCAGCCCCCCACTCACCCCAGCCCAGCACTAGAGGTATTCGACCCAAAGGCTGATGCACTTTCAGAAGGCATTGCCATGTTGAAATTTATTGCCATTTAGATATTAGGGAAAAGGGTTTTTAAAGTAGTTGCTGTCCTATTCCATTTTCAGAGCTTCCTTTATGCTCATCTAAATTAAGAGTTTTTAAATAGTAACGGCTATAATGTGAACATTAGGGGGGGGGTTGATGTTCCTTTTCCAATTATGCAGAGGACCCAGGCACGTATACCTGACATCATCATGTGTATAATCTTTTGTCTCAGACTGTGGTAGAAAGTACTTAGCTTCCTGAAATAGTCGGTGTGTTTAGGAGCAGTTGGGACCTTGGAGAACTCATGACAGTAAGTGCTTGTTTGTCTTGAACTAATGAATCTCTAGTGCAAGATAAGAGGAAGCTGGGACATCATGGTATTTCCTCTACTATAATGTTTAATGCAAGAGTCATTTGCTCAAAAACAGCATACCCTGCAGGTTTCAGTAAATTGTATCCCGCTAAGCAGAAAAGCTCTTCATGTCTGTGCCAGGCGCTTGCTCTCTCTCTCTCTCTCTCTCTCTCTCTCTCTCTCTCTCTCTCGCTCTCTCTCTCTCTCTCTCTCTCGCTCTCTCTCTCTCTCTCTCTCTCTGTGTGTGTGTGTGTGTGTGTGTGTGTGTGTGTGTGTGTAGAAAGTGTGTAACAGAACCTAGATGAGATCAAAATGCTGACTTGTGCTCCCCCTTGCCTTTCAGACCTGTTCATGGAAAAGTCATTCCACTTTGGAAGCCTTCTCCCAAAGGGGCCCCTGAGAGACCACCCCCCCCTAAACTTTCTGCAACCAAATCATCAAGTAAAAATTTGCCTCTTAATCGGTCCTCCTCAGACATGGATCTTCAGAAAAAGCAAAGTCACTTGACCTCTGGGCTCTCAAAAGCCAAGAGTCAGGTTTTTAAAAACCAAGATCCGGTGCTACCACCTCGTCCCCAACCCGGACACCCTCTCTACAGGAAATACATGGTAAGCCTGGAATCTAAAATTGGTGCTTAAGGGGTTTACTCTAGCCGGGCAGTGGTAGTGACACCTTTGGTCCCAGCACTCAGGAGACAGAGGCAGAGGCAGGCGGATCTGTGTGAGGCCAGCCTAGTCTACAGAGTGAATTCTACGACATCCAAAGCTACACAGAGAAACTCTGTCTCGAAAAACAAAAACAAAGGGGGAGTTGTACTAGGAATAAGTAAGATCTGTAATACTTAGGAAAATCGGTAAAACATAAAAACAAACGTGGGGTTGGCCCTTGACAGGGCAAACTTTAGGCTGCCTCAAAACCTGTTTTCGGGGGCTGGAGAGATGGCGCTGAGGCTTAGAGTACTTGTTCTTGCAGAAGACCCCAGCTTGATTCCCAGCATCTATATAGCAATTCACAACCATCCATAACTTTAGTTCCAGGACTTACATGATACAGACATACATGGGAGCAAAATACTCATATACATAAGACAAATAATTCATGAAAAAAACAAAACAACAACAAAAGCCTGGGTTTTCAAGGCAGGGTGTCAGTATTAGGAGAATCAGCCAGAAAGGGAAAGCAGGCAGACAGGGAATTTAAGCCACTGACACAGTAGGATCTGCCGTGGGAGTAGGTGACAATTGCTATGGGTCATCTCCTGAAATAGTTTGTACTTTCCAGCTGCTTTACCCACTAAATGAGTAGCAATTAAATGAAGTATAAATTAAGTTTTTATTAAGATCAATGGACTTCTTACAGATTTTTTTTCCCATTTTGTAAGCATAATTATCATGGCCCATTTAATAGCTACTAGTTAAAAGTTCTTATCAGTAATTGAGATGGTTGAGTATTAGTTTTGTCCTCTTTGGATGTTTTTTTCATCAGATGGCTTTTGCCTGAGTTTCCCACAAATGACAAACAGAGTTGATTTGCTTTTCTATGTGCTCGGGTCAACCAGAAAAATAAGAAAATTCACTTAGAAGTGGGGGGAAGATTATTTGCATTTTTAGAATAATTGGATGCAGTGCTATGTTTAACAGCAGTTAGTAATTTTATCCTGTTCTATACTTCCACCAAGCCAGAAAGTGTTTCTTAGTTTAAGCTAATACAGATTTTGAGAAGAGAATAGACAGATAAAAAGAAATAATATATTCACAGTCATTTAAGTTGCTGAAACCCATTGCTCCTCTCTGTCTCTCTCTCAGCTAAGATGAAGTATAAACTGATGAAACTTTAACTACACAAACCCAAGGGATAGTCTCTGGGATGGACTACTTAATAAATAAAGTAAAATAGTAATGGGTATGTGTTGAGAACTAATTGTTAGCTAGGCACTATTCAAAAGTAATCTTTTAGATTAGATACTATTAGTATCCCCATTATACAAATAAGGAAAATGAGGCTAAGATAGAAATTTAAGCCAGCTAGCAGTAAAACCAGGATTTGAACACAAAACAGTTGGCATTGAGTCTATGCTCTTCACCATTTTACCATACCATGAACACAGTGTTAATTAGTGGTAAGGCCTCTCTCTCTGCTTTGGTCATTCTATGCCAAGATTGTTTACTCAAGGAGAACCAGCTTTCACTTGGGGTTCTTTGCATAGCTGCATAATGTCAAAACACTTAAGGAATTCAGAGAAATCAATGCATCAAAACGATGGTTATTTAAATGATGTGTCTCATTATAAAATACACTCTTAAATCCACTTCCTGCCCCCATGGCTACAGTACCATTAAACTACTAGTAGGAATCTGTGTGTCTTGGGAGCCCTGCGTGCTGTGGAGATGTGGGGGAAGTGATGCTACTCAACCCAGCTTTACAAGGCCCCCTCCTTGTACTCTGTGTGTTTGCTCTTGAGTAATCCAGGAGCCCAGGCAACCTCCTTCTCCGAGTTTTAAGTGTGTATTATATAGAACTTCTGACAAGTACTCCTCAGAAACGGAACCCCTTGGCTCTGGGGCCCAGGTATAGAAACCATTGTAAGATCAGACTGCTGAGGGAACAGGAAGTAGCTGGGCTTCAAGCAGACAGGCAGGCTACCAGGGAAGACTACAAGGCAAATGGAGAGAACTTGAGGCCACATTCACCCCCTTGTGATTCTGTGGGCTCAGCTCCACCTTTTCGGGACTTATTAGTATCTAGGAGAACTGCTGCCCCCCTGGATCCAGGGTGTGAAGTCTGCTCACCCTCTGAAGAAGCTGCCCTTTTCAAGCACACATGCCAAGTCCTAAGTGATCAGTAGCAGGTGAGGGATTGCAAATAATTCTCTTATGGTTTACATTTAAGCTGTCTGTGCCTCATGGAATTGCCAATGAAGACATTGTCTCCCAAAACCCCACGGAACTCTCTTGTAAGGTAAAGTCAAACAATTTCTTTACTAACTAATTAAAAAAAAAAATTAGAAAAAAATCCCTGCCCTCTGTTCCTGCTATTACATGTTATTAAATGCTTTAGGCTCCAAAGATTAAAATGTGGGAAAGTAATAATGTTTTATTAAATAATAATTGCTTCAGAGAGTGGTGTTGTGTCTTACAGCGAGGGGACGTGCTTGTGATCCTGAAGCAGGCAGAAAATAATTACTTGGAATGCCAGCGGGGAGAAGGCACTGGCAGAGTTCACCCATCCCAGATGAGAATCATCACTCCCCTTGAGGAGCGGCCGAGAAGCAGACCTAACGTACGTTGCTGTTGTGCAGCCTTCATGTCACACATGGCGGCACCGTCATGGAGCTATTAATTATATCCTTTCCTCCCCAGGCGTCTTTTATTAGCAGCATTATTTTAACCTGGGTGGAAATAACAGTAGCAGTTTGCTCCAATTTTGGAATAAATGACTCTAATCACATTGGCACAGACTACCGGGTATTCTGCCCTCTCCGTGTTGTAGTGGCTTGTGGGAGCTAGGACACTCACTCACAAATTTTCAACTGAGAAAGTGACTTACTCTTTTAAATAACATGAACCTGTTTACCAGACCAGAGTTTGGTTCTCTAGCAGAATGAGTCTGTTATTTTTAAAAGGAACCATATAAATGCTAAATCTGACATAAGAGTCCTTTAAAATGCAACCCTAGTCTTACAGGGTGTGGTGGGTGCTCCCCTGTAATTCCATACATGAAAAATACACCAGTCATTCAAGTCAAGAACCTAGTTTGTTATTTATCCTAGATTTCATAATCTAGTCTAACTCCTTCTTTTTGGAAGGCACTTTATCTTTTCAAGTTTTCCTAAGAAACTAAAATTTCTCATTTTAGGGAGAAGATAGGGCTTCAACTAGTGCAGCTGGCATGTGAAAAATCTAACTAGTTCACACAGGAAAAAAAAAAAAAAACCTCTCTTACCCAGTTTTCTCTTTTTGGGTCCAGCGTCATCCATCTGTCATAGCTACCCTTCCTCTCTCAGAGTATGCTGCTGGTAATGGCAGGGGTTATGCTGCCAAAAACCTATCCTTTTACATATATTTTAAAGCTTAAAAATTAAAAGTTGTAACAGTCCAAAGTTTCCCCACTTTAAACATTGCTATTGCCTTTTAAAAAGTCTCTGTTCTCCAGGGACCATTGTATGACCTCTGTTGGTGAAAATGAGTGAACCATTCTTTAGGCTTTTGGGTTTGTAGAGATTGTTATAGTTCTTAGATAATAAACTTGGGTGGCTCCCTGGCCTAGCACTTCCTTAGCGTGCACTGGTGCCTGTCCCCAGCACCACCTTACATGACAAAGAAGGAGGTCCAAAAATGTGTTATACTTTTGGACCTAATTTGGTCAACAGGAGATGTTAATCAGTTAAAGTTGGAAACAAAGGATTGGTCATAGAGACAGTGAATGGTTATCACCAAGTGTGTGGCTCCAGTTCCCCTTCTCCACCCTGGTGGTCAGAGTGTGCTGAAGGTTTTTGTTGTTGTTTTGGTGTGAAGTTAGTGTGGTAATGCTCAACAGAGTTGTTTTGGGAATTGACATCTTGTATAGAAACCCAGAAAAGGTACACTGTTAATAACAGAAAAGGTTAGCATTTGCTTACAGCTGAGGGTAGAGTGGAAGAGTAGCTACTAAAGGGTAGATGTTAATCCCACCTTCGAGAAAAAGACCACTACCACAATTTTTAAGCCACATTTGAAGCTGTGATCAAGCACATTCCTGTGCAATTGGGGCAACCAGCCTTGTTTACAGCAGTGAAAACAGGGGGCTTGTTATATTACATAAACAGTCCCCAGCATTCCAGGAAATTATCTGTCCTAGGATAAATGGGGCTTACAGGTTAGAGGCATTTTTGTTTTAAAGATCTCTTAAGCGCAATAATTAAAACTTAAAACATAACTTTAGCCCTCACATGGGTTCGGTGGGAGAGGGGTCGTAAAAATGCTCTACTTCATAGACTTCAATGAAGTTGCACAATTCTATGAATGTTCTAAAACCACACACATTCTAAATGGATAAATTTTATTTTGTGTGAATTGTATCTCATACATTTAACAAGTTAAGTAAGCCCATGTTAATGCATAGAAGGTATTTGTCACAGTGAGCGGAGCACCATAAATGATTGTAGTTACTCTTATTGTTATGATATCATTTCTTAAGCAATGATGTAGAAAGACCTTCAAACTCTCTTCGATTTGCCTGTATCAAGTATGCACTCTGGTGGCAGCATCTGGGCTGTACTGCTCCCTTGTGGCCAACCCTGTCTAGCCTCTAATGCCTGGTGAGTCTCATTGCTCATCACTGAAGGAAGGCTTGAAAAAGGAAACTAACTGGAGGCTCAAATTGTCTTCTCAACTCTCTCACTTGGGTATATATAGATCTTTGGTCTATTTGGAGATTTGTGTTCATGTTACATTTAAGGTGGATCCCTGATTTGACTTTTTCCAGGTCAGTAGCCATCCAGACTAACACTGTTTATTGACTAGCCATTCCTCTTCCTGCAGATGTAAATCAGGAATAAATAACACACACACATACATGCATGGTGGTGGTATCTCATGTCTTTAATTCTAGCACTTGGAAGGCAGAGGCAGCCAGATCTCTAAATTTGAAGCCAACCTAGTATACAGAGCAAGTTCCAGAATAGCCAGGGAAACATAAAGAAACCCTGTCTCAGGTGGAAACAAAACCACACACACACACACACACACACACACACACACACACACACACACACACACATAATTAATTACATAAATGGAGATCTTAAAGCCACTGGAGACCTAAAACAGCTCACAATTACTAAAACTCCCATGTTGCTTATTATTTAGGCAAAAGCAAGATCTAAGAAGGTGTTGTGTTGCTTAGTAAGCTGATATATAAAAATAAAAAAAAAAAGCTGTGTCAGCCATAACTGTCTTGACCTGAGTTACAGCTCTGCTTACTTGTATAAGAATAGACAGTTTGCCCCGTGGTGCATTTTGGTTCAAAGAGCAGGTGGATTCAGGAAAGATCTGACAGAAGTGCTAAGGGGTAGAAAGAGTGGGCTGTGGGAGGGACAGAGATGAAGTATCCCTAAGAAGTCAAGAGTCCTTGAAAAACAAAAAGCACAAAAGTCTACCTCCATTCATTTCATAAGTTTGCTGGTGTTGAAGAAATTTAAGTAACATCTCCCAAGGGTTGAGGGTGGACCACTTCCTTGCCCGTGAGTAAGGCCCTGGGCTTGATCCCCAGCATCACCAAAGAAAGCAAGCAGCATCCTTAACTGGATTTGATGATGGTGATTATGATGATGGTGATGGTGATGATGTCATTTGATAAGCCCGTTTCTTCACATAAAGAGGTTAATTATGGTGACACACCTCCATAATTCTAGATCTTAGGATGTTTGAGGCAGAAGCATTGTGAATTTGAAAGCATGCTAGTCTACATAGTGAGTTCCTGATCCAACTGGGCTGTATAGCAAGACCCTCCGGTCTCAAGAAACAAAGTAAGCAAGAGGTGGCTCATGCCTTTAATCCCAACACTAGGGAGGCAGAGGCAGGAGAATCTCTAAGTTTGAGGCCACCCTGGTCCACATAGCAGCAGCAGCAGCAGCAGAATGAGGAGGAAGAAGAACAAGAAGCAAAGTAAAACCAGAGAAGCAACTACTCAGCAGTCATGAGTATCCCTCTTTAACCTCACCCTCTCCTCCAGATAATCCAGGGCATTGTTTACCTAGCTAAAGAATACTACATTCTCTTTGCTAATTTACTTAGAATTGCTGTTGAATAAACCATTCAGATTAAATAGAAAGGCCAAGCATGGAGGGATAGCATTGCTTTCAAACTAGAGAATATATTCAGTTAAGTGGTAATAAATGAAGTGGTTTTACTCTTGTGAATTATACTTTTGTGGGAAGTCATTAGCTCCTTTCACTGCAAAAAACAAAGACATAAATACAGAACTTCATTCTCTTGCAGCAGAATGGGCTTAACTTTGAAAGCTCTGTCCTTAAGGTCTAAATTGGTCAGTTGGCTTGGGAGTGTGTGTGTGTGTGGGGGGGGGGTTACCATTGGAATGCAAAGTGGCTAAACCCCCCCCAACTTTGAGGTAGGATAAGTGTTATGGTATTTTGTTGTTGTTGTTGTTTTGCTTCCTTTAAAGCCTTTAAAGTTAAACAGTTCTGTTTTGTTTTAGTTTCTTTCTTTAAAATCCAAGTGCTTAAGGGGCTGGAGAGATGACTAGGTGGTTTAGAGACCTACCACTACTCTTGCAGAGTACAAGGTTCAATTCCGAGTACATACATCCAGTTCCAGGGGATCTGGTGCTTTCTTCAGGTCTCTGCATATGCCAGATACTTCTATGGTGTGCAAACATACATGCAGGCAAAACACCCATGTGCATAAAATAAGCAAATCTCTAAGAAGAAATGCTTAGTGATATGCAATTGGAAGTTATTTCTGCCCCTCCCTGGCAAGAACACATTCTATTTTGAGGTGATAATGATTCCCTTAACTAGTTCACCTGTGTGGTTTACATCTCATGCTTATAGTGCAATTCTTTTGGGGAGACTCTAATGAGAAACAAACAAACAAACAAACAAACAAACAATGGCCTGGGGTGAATAATGAAACCAGTTCTATCCTGCATACTCCATTCACAGCTCTGCTTTCCCTCCAAGGATTCCGGCCACACTGTTGACAGTGGAGCTCCTCATGCTGTGGTTCTGCATGATTTCCCAGCAGGTAAGGACATAGATAATGAGTGGATGGAGCCCTGGGACACCTTCTCAAAGCCTTCCTTCCTCATTGCCTGTGTCTGTAGAATCCTAGCCTAAGGGTAGCATCTTATCCATCAGTTCTGCCTTCAGAAAGGGGCTGTGAACCCAACCATGCCAGAAAGCTTAGCTGGAAAGCTGTCCTTCGAAAGGGATGGGGAATCCCCCACCCAAATGACAAACAGCCATTGCTTACAAACTTTAACCCTGTGGTGTAGCTATAGCTCAAATTAACATCCTTCAGGGCTCAGGCTAGAATATTTACTTGTTTAGCATTGTGATGAAGTCAATTCTAATTTAATAAAAAAGTGAGTTTTTAAAAAAGATTTTTTTAATATGTGTCTCACCCACCACTTAGCTATGAGATCAAAGATTTAGATTTTTTGTAATCATTTTAAGTTATCCTTTTAGCCAAGGCTACAATTTTTTTTAACTATTTACAACTTATATAAATAAATAAATCTTTTTTCCATGCAGACTGGCAAGCTGATTTTTATTTTAGAGTAGAACATTTTTCTTCCTAAAGAGCTGTAGTTAATATTTGAAGCTGGTATGTCTTTTAAGGGTGACTGGGAATAATGGTCAGTGTATCACGCCATGTCTACAAAAGTCTTTCAGGGTGTTTTCAGCAAGAGACTTTAATTGGCACAGCAGGAACCGCTGGCCAGGACAATGGTAGTTTTATAAATGGTTTCCCTTAGTAGATATATCTAATCTATTCTTAGAAAAGAGAATCACTAATATCAACATTTTTAAATAAAATGTTATGAAAAAATTAATTTGATCAGTGTAATCCAGTCTGTGGACAGAGCTAAATGCCACTTTCTTCTCTGCTTTTAATCACATGTGTAGCTGGGGCAATTCATCGTTGTCCCTAATTCTGTGTTACAGAGCAAGCTGATGACCTGAGTCTCACATCTGGAGAAATTGTTTATCTTCTCGAAAAAATTGACGCAGAATGGTACAGAGGGAAATGCAGAAACCAGACTGGCATATTTCCTGCCAATCATGTCAAAGTCCTTGTAAGTGGGTTTTGTTTGTTTTCTTTGGCCACACATTCAGTGGTTCAGTGAGGCCTGAAGATAAGAAAGAGGAACTAGAAGCCTGCAGTCATGAGTTCCTCTTTTCTGTCTTCTCTTGATCATTTGGCATTTAGACATTTTCAAAATAAATCTTTTTTCCATGCAGACTGGCTCGATCAGCTATCAGTTATGAAAGGGATGAGGGCTCCGAGGGCCCTGCCCCTTACTGCTGACTATTGACAGAGTCTGGGAGAGGGGGAATTCGTTATCTTCAGTTGTGTGCCCACTGCTGGGCCCACCATGCTCCATAAAGAAATATCGGTCGGTAGATCATTTATCCTTGGAGGGTTCTTAAACACTTAAGGATATACATTAATTCTTCTTTTTATTTAAAAAATTTATTTTTCATTTTACATACCAACCCCAGTTCCCCCTCCCTCCCCTTCTGCTCCCCCTTCCTCCCTTCACATCCCCCATCCACTCCTTAGAGAGGGTACAGCCTTCCTTGGGGAGTCAGCAAAGTCTGGCATACCAGGTTGAGGCAGGACCAAGCCCCCCACCATCAAGGTTGAGTAAGGTATCCCACCATAGGGAGTGGGCTCCAAAAAGCCAGTTCATGCCCCTGGGTTAGGTCCTGGTGCCACTATCAGCACCCCCACCAAGAGATCAAGCCACATAACTGTCACTCACAGAGGGCCTAGTTTGGTCCCATGCAGGTTCCCCAGCTGTCAGTCCACAGTCCATGAGCTCCTACTAGCTTGGGTCAGCTGTCTCTGTGGTTTTCCCCATCTTGTTCTTGACTCCTCCCCCCCCCACCTTGCTCATGTGATCCTTCCTCCCTCTCTTCAACTGAACTCCAGGAGCTCAGCCCAGTGCTTGTCTGTGGGTCACCTCATCTGCTTCCAGCAGTTATTGGATGTAGGTTCTATGATGACATTTAGGGTAGTCACTAATCTGATTAAAAGGGAAGAAGGCCCATTCAGACACCCTCTCTACTATTGCTAGGAGTCTTAGCTGGGGTCATTCTGTGGATTCCTGAGGCCTTCAGTGAACATGAGTTTAGGTGCTACTAAACAGTTCTGAAAGGATATTCTGTGGGGTTATGGTACCATGTCAGTTTGAGAGTACCAAGGCACTTTCACCTTAGGTAGTAGTCCACTAATGGGTTCTTCACATAATATCTTCAAGTCTGATTGAAGAAAATTATATTGAAGCATCACAATTTTATAGCCCCTAATAGCTGAACTTGTGAACACACTCCAGTATGTTGAAGGTTTTCATGCTAAGCCTAGGTAGCTGTCAAACATGGGGACAAAATTTGATCGCTCTTTGAATATTTGTATAATGAGGGAGAATATGACTCACTCCCTGATATAACCTACTAATACTATGAAATATCAATAGAGCTAGCTTAAAAGTTAATGGCTTATTTTGAAGGGGGGAAAAAACCTAGTAATTTCCCATTACCTCAGAAACTTTAAAATTTAAGTATAACAGAAAATCTGTATTTTTCAAATAGAAAAGAGTTTGAGTCTCTTGGAGTATTAAATGTAGATCTTAAAAATTGCCCAGTGTAGATGTGGCCTGGTTCTTTGGAGAAATCTAACCAACATTCTCTAAATTAATAGTAAGAGTGATGTTAGTTTTAGCACTCTTCATTTTTCTTCTGCTCTGTGTAACAGGGCTTTAAACAGCACAATTACCACACTGAAATCAATCACACCCAGTCAGCCACATTATTGGTATAAATGTTATTCCTAAGCCCACAAGTTTAAAAAATTGTTTTAAAAAAACCAAACTTACAGAATTTATTTAAAAGGGCACTGATCTAATATAGACCTCATAGCCTGGCCAAGAACTTTATTCCAGCCCAGCTCTACTGTTTACTGAAGTGCCTGGCACTTAGTAAATGCTTATCTAGTACACATTGCTTTCTTCCTACCCTGTTTGCAGTGAAGGGGCAAAGTCCCCTTCAATATATGGAGAGAATCCACAAATCTAATCAAATGCTTCATTTGGGGACCAGGGAGGTATTACTGAATCCTGCCCTTCATTTGAACAGGGCAGCAGCATTATGACCTGATGGCTGATGGCTATCTTAAGTTCCTTGGAAAAGTGTAGAGAACTCATGCTCATGGCAGCAGGGTGACTGATTGCTCAAGGAGGACTACACAGAAGCTATTCTCCCTCCACCCCTTTTAGACAGGGTCTCACTACAGTAGCCCAGGCTAGCCTCTGCCTCAGCCTTCTGTGTGCTGGTGGTACAGGAGTATTTTAGACTAGACAGGATCTCACTACTGTAGCCTGGGCTAGCCTACACCTCATGATCCTCCTGCCTCAGCCTCCTGTGTGCTGGTGTTACAGGAATATGTCACCACATCCAGCTGAACTTGTATATTTTTTCCAAAACTCAGTTTTCGTTTTCTTAGTGTTCAGCAGCTATACCTCCAATACACTCACCAGCTAGCTTTCCTGATTAATTTAAATCATGCATTTCCTAATTACTTGATGCTAAATTTATCTTAACCAAATTATAAAAAAGAAACAAGCATTACCTGATTTTGTCTTTGCTAGGTTGATATTCCAGAAGGAAGAAGTGGAAAAAGAGAATCGTTTCCTTCTCACTGTGCTAAGTAAGTGTTGTTTGTGTTCTTTTGTATAAAATAAAAAAGAGGGAGAAATGAAGAATTTCTAAGCTGAATCATTTCCATTTCGTGATTAGCCAGATTCTCAGTGTCTTTACTTCTGAGGAAATTTTATTTGCTTAACATGTGATAGTGAGAGGCTGGAGACATGGTTCAGTGGTTAGGATGCATCCTGTTCCTACAGAGGACCCAAGTTCAATACCTAGCACCCACATTAGGGAGCTTACAAGACCCAACTCCAATTCCAGGGGATCTGGTGCCCTCTGCTGGCCTCTGCATGCACACCCACACCTGGAAGGAAGAGAGGGAGGGAGAGAGGGAGGGAGGGAGGGAGGGAGGGAGGAAGGAAGGAAGGAAGGAAGGAAGGAAGGAAGGAAGGAAGGAAGGAAAGGAGTTGGACATGGCACATGCCTTTAATTCCAGCACTCGGAGACAGACAGGAGGATCTCTGTGAGTTTGAGGTCAGCCTGGTCTACAGAGAAATTTCCAAGACAGCCAGGGGTGTTACACAGAGAAACCCTGTCTTGAGTGGGGGAGGGGGAGGGAAGGATAGGATAGGATAGGATAGGGAAGGGAAGGGAAGGGAAGGGAAGGGAAAGGGAAAGGGAAAGGGAAAGGGAAAGGGAAAGGGAAGGGAGCCTGGAGAAATGGTTCCTCAATTAAAAAGAACAACTTGCTGCCCACATGTGGCTCACAAGCATCTATAACTCCAGTTCCAGGGGATCCAGTGTTTTTTTCTGACTGCTGTAGGCACCAGGCATACGTGTGGTGCACATACATACTTCAGGCAACACACTCATACACATCAACAAATAAAAGAAAACTGTTAAAATAGAAACACATTTAAAAATCAGTGCAGCAGGTGGATAGAAGCCAGCTTAAGCAGTCTTCCATACAGGCCCAGGGACAGTTAAATGTGTCCTGACCTGGCTGCAGCCTGCAGAAAATAGTTTTGTTGTCAGTGAGATTTTAGTGTGGCTTTCTGGTGTTTCCTAGCAGCTTTTTTTTTTTTTTTTGAAACATTAACTGCTTTCCTCATGAAAAATATCTCTGTCTCATAGAAATATGAATCCTACAAAAACAGCCAGGTGAGACCAGGGCCCAACTCAGTGGTTGAATGCTTACCTAGCAATGTATGCAGCTCTGGGTTCAAATCCCACCCATGAAAATAATAAAATGCCTCTTAGTAGATGTTTTGTGTTGTTTTGTTTTTAAGGACTAGGCAGAGGTGAGGGAAGAGTTACATTGCAGATTCTTGTGTGTCCCAGTGTTTGTGAGACCTTTCCAGGGATTTATATGCCTTTTATGCTTCATTGTAACTCTTGTGTGATTTAAAGCCCTGCCACAATGCAGCTTTATATTCTAGTTAAATGAGCAAATTAGAACAATTCTCTACCTGGTGAAGACTGTAAACCTGTCTGTGAATAGGTCAGACATAAGGAGGTGTTCCCAGGGGACTGGAGACGATAAATGCAAAGGTTATCACAAATAAGAAAATTTTCGGTGCCACAACATCAAGTCATTGGGTCATACTCCAGGCTGCGTTTCTCCTCTGAGCAACAGATACCACAAGGGCAGCTTGAGTTTAAATGGGCATGAAGGGCCATTCATCTACTGAGCCGCTTAGATCAGAATTTGGATTCCACAAGGACCAGCCTTTCCGTTACAGGCGATTGTGTCCTCTTTAGATTTCTGCTATTGAAACTTCTTTTCTGAGGCCTCAAATCCAAGGTCTGGTATTAAATTAAACAGACCAAGTTCTATCTCTGCTTTGAGTGACTACAATAGATGGTCCATAGTCCGTAAGGTCAAGATATCTTTATTGAGATAAATACCAGCCAAACACAAGCCAGAGAGTGCCCAGGTCAGCCCAGCAGCGAGGCCAGGGAGAAGGGGCTTCCCATGTGCTCTGCAGCCCCTTAAGAGCCCATCCTGCATCATCCTGACCTTACCTGTCAAGGCGTGGTCAGGCACACCTGTAGCCAGCCTCTAACAGGCGTGGCTTACTGTCCCCTACACTGCTTGTATCTTATTTTCCCTCAGAATTACAGATCACTAAAGGGTTGTTCCAGTCTTGAGAATGCAGCCTTTTTTTTTTTTTTTTTTTTTTTTTTTTTTTTTTTTTTTTTTGGTTTTTCTAGACAGGGTTTCCCTGTGTAACTTTGGAGCCTATCCTGGTACTTGCTGTGTAGACCAGGCTGGCCTTGAACTCATAGAGATCCACCTGTCTCTGCCTCTCTAGTGCTGGGATTAAAGACATGTTCCGCTACCGTCCAGAGGAATGCAGCCTTCTTAAAGGCATCACACAGTCCTTACAGAGCAACAAAGTGGATGGAGGGTTATGTGTTTCTCCAACTGTCAGGCTCATTTATTCCTCCCACTCACTGGTGCAGTCAGTGCCCAGTGAGCATCCCTTCTGTCTAACAGATGCACCCCTTGTACTGTCCTCATTCTTAAGCAAGACTTTGATGTCTTTCCCTGAGATTCTCATGGGGACTACTCCCAGTCCCAGCATGTTTGTGATTGAAAGGGTTCAGACTGGGCCATGGACTGCTTTGGCACAAAGAAACAAACACTTGGAGTCTGGGGAGATTCTGTAATTAAATAAAAACTGACCAAAAGGCATAGACTACCAGTCAGCTACTGATCGGGAATGCTGCTTGAAGTGTGTGGCCTTGAGCTTGGCCCTTCTGTGTTCAGAGCTTCACTATCTAGAAATAAGCCTTGATATTTAGATGTGTAGCTTACTCTTTTTCTTGGAAGTTTGATTCCTAGAACAAATATACCGTGTTCCATAATAAACAGGGTATTTACTGAAAGACTGAATGCAAGTTGAAAAGTTTTTTTTTTTTTTTTTTAAGTTAAGACTAGAGAATACTTTATTCTGATTTTGTTGTTGTTTGGTTTTGGTTTTTGGTTTATGAGACAGGGTTTCTCTGTGTAGCTCTGGCTGTCCTGGAAGTCAGTCCGTAGACTCAGCTCACCTGAAACTCACTGAGATCCGCCTACCTCTGTCTCCTGAGTTCTGGGATTAAAGGTGTGCAGCTCCACCTTTAGTTGCTGGCTAAGCAACACTTCTTAAAACAGAATAAAGTAACCAGGGGCAGGGGTACGGACGGGAGTGACAGAGACAGGTGGATCTCTGTGAGTTCAAAGCCCAGTGTGGCCTACAGAGTGAATTCCAGGACAGCCAGGGCTACACAGAGAAACCCTGTCTCCAAAAACAAACAAACAAAAAGTGTTGCTTAATGGTAGAGTTAAAAGTAAAGCCAATGAAGGTCTTTATTTTATTTTTGTAAATGCTCTTAAGTTTAACCCATAACTGTGCTCTTCTTTGTTCAGAGGCCCACGATGTGTTGCTCGGTTTGAATATATCGGAGACCAGAAGGATGAGTTAAGTTTCTCAGAGGGAGAAGTAATTATTCTTAAAGAATATGTGAATGAGGAATGGGCCAGAGGAGAGATTCGAGACCGAACTGGGATCTTCCCCCTTAACTTTGTGGAACTTGTGGAGGATCATCCCACATCTGGTGCAAATATCTTAAGTGAGTATGGAGAACATGGGTGTTTATTGTGTCATTGTCTTATTCAAACGAATCAGTAATTAGTAACACTTCAGAGACTTTATAATCCATGTTGCCATATTCATAATGTAGAAGGAAAACTTTACTTTGAATGGTAATTTGTGTTGGAAACTGGTCTGATTTATTGTTTATGGTAGTTAGCAATGGCTAACTGTGAGAAATGACAACGACCTTTAGTCAGTGGGTTGTTCAGTTAACTGTGGTCCTGATCTATAGTTAAATAAACAGTCCCAGAAAGCTAACACTCCACACTCTCACTCAAAACTTTTCCACTAATACTATGTAGTGTTTTCATCTGACTTTTTTTTTTAATGTAGGCACAAAGGAGCCACCAAAGACCAAAAATGAAGACCCTGGCTCAAATTCTCAGGTAGGCTGCTTGAGTGGATAACTGTAGTGACAGCCACATTTAAACCCTCCAGGCCTTGGTGTGTGTTTTGTTTGGACAGAATCTTATTCTGTAGTCCAGATTGGCCTCAAACTTATGGCAATCCTCCTGCCTCAGTTTCGCAAGTGCTGGGATTACAGGTGTGAGCCACCAAACCTGTAAGAGGTTTTTAGTTTTTTGCTTTTTGTTGTTAGTCCACTAGTTACTGAGAAGGGAAGTGGGAAGTGTCCCACAAGGCACTGTGAAAAGTGTTCTCTTTGTGTCCTATCATTTCACCCTCACAGCAACCCTTAAATGGAACCAAAGCTCAGAGAAGCCTGGTTGTTGCACATAGCCAGGAAATAGCAGAGCTGGGTCTAGAACCCTTGCCTGTCTGGCTGCAAAGCCTTTGCTCTTACCTTTACCCTCCACTGCCTTCTAGAGGTTCTGAAATACTGAGTTCCCATCCAACTTTGAAGAACTGCCTCTCAGTTCTTCAGACAAGGGTGTTGGGCACCCATTGTGTTAGAGTTACAGATGGTTGTGAGTGCCTGACATAGGTCCTAGGGAACTGAACTCAGGGCTTCTGGGAGAGAAGCGTGTGCTCTTAACCACTGAGCCATCCTGTCAGCCCCCATGACTAGTTTTTACTCCTCATCATCCTTGAAGCCTTGGGGTAAGCCCTCATGTTCCTTACCAGACTCCTACTTTGAACAGGCTAGCAGCCCTTCTGGAGAGTGGTGCAGAGCTCTGCACAGCTTCACAGCAGAGACCAGTGAGGACCTCTCCTTCAAACGAGGAGACCGGATCCTGATCCTTGAGAGGCTAGACTCGGACTGGTACCGTGGCCGACTGCACGACAGGGAAGGCATCTTCCCAGCCGTGTTTGTGCAGCCCTGCCCAGGTATGACAACTGCCATATGTGACCTACACTTCAAGGGCCCAAGGCTTTTAAACAGTGTATATTCCTTTACCTCTGACCACAGTTGACTTAAGTTTTCTATCTGCAGCTAGTAGAGATGATTAATAAACTCACTCCTACACTGCTATGTCAGCGATGTGGAGGGAAAGAGAAAAATATCACTAAATAATGGCAAACTTTGATTAATAAATAGACTTTATATACGATTCCTTTCCGGCTAAGTACACATCCTTTATTCTTTTTGCAAGTCAAGTGAAACTAAGTAAAAATATTTAAAGACAGGTTCTTAGGATGTTCATGTGATTGTCATCCTGTGTATTTGAGATTCTTGTGTCTTTGCAGCAGAAGCAAAAAGTATGACTACCACAATATTGAAGGGGAGGAAGGTCAAAGCCCTATATGATTTCCTTGGGGAAAATGAAGATGAACTCTCTTTCAAGGTCAGACTGCATACCTTTTTATACCTCGCTAGCAATACATAGTTTGCAATGTACTCATGAATGGAATAGTGATCATTACCTAAGTAAGAATGAAGACCTCTCAGACCCTAATTGTAAGGGAAGAGAGTGGGTAGACCTGCACATGGTAACACAGTCCTCTAAGTCCAGCTCTCAGGAGGCAGAGGAAGGAGAATCATATGTTTGATGTCAGCTTTCACCTCTAGTGAAAAAAGAGGGGGAGGCCAGCTAGGGAGGAGGAGCAAGTGGAAAAGACCTGACAGTTTCTATCACCCACTCTCACTTAAGGACTCAGGGAAAACCTAGCTTGTAGTTACAGTCTTCAAATAATTCCTGTATCTTGGCTTTATAATACCAAATCTTGATATGGGAGTTTTCATCTGCTGACATCTGAATGGAGAAGTCAGATAGCTCCTGCTAGGGTTTGCTTTGGTAACCCGATAAGAGCTGTTCTTGTCCACAGACACCCACCAGTGCTTTGGGAAACAGCCCCAAAGTGGTAAGCTGAACTGTGAAGATTTTTTTTTAAAGAAACCCAAATATAACCCTGATCTGCCTTACAGAAAAAGTATCTATTTTCTTGAATGTGGAAATGAAGTATGTTTCTGTTGAGCCATGGTGAGAGGAGAGCACATCCAGGCAGAACTTTAGGACTATACTGTAGGAAACTGGTGTAGTTGTTGGTGCTACCAAACAGCTGTGGCCCAGTGATAAAGTCTCCATCTTTGAAGGCAGCCCATCACAAAGAATGAAAGCCTCCGGGAGCAGTTGGATAAGATGAGACCTAAAACGGGGGACTGCCCACACAAAGGTTTCACTCATCTATACGAAGTGAGCAAAGGGTGCCAGCCTAGCAGTGCTGCCTGGGAGGTGTCGGTGAAGCCGCTAACTCCTACTTTGTGATAGTTTCCTTTATTCTAAGACTGTCTACGTTTTATATTAAAATATCATTTCTATTGTGGTTAATAAATATTGTTAACAAATGACAGGCATCTCAAACTAAGTTGGAAACTCTATTCTTTGTCTGAGTCCTTGATCCACAAACTCCTCAAGTTTGGAAATTGCTATCTTGCTCCTTCTCAGTCTTGCAAATCAGCAGCTCAAGATTTATTCCTTGTCTTCAGATAAAATGTTGTCGTAGGTAAAGAATCTGAATTCAAACTTTTAGGGGGTTATTTTGGTTTTCACTTGTGTCAATTCACAACAAAGAACAGGTTGTCCTAATAATGAATGTCTTGTAAGTTAAATAGTTATGGAGTTTTTTCGTTAAGGGACACTTTACTGCTTTCAATGGTATTGGTCATTAATACTTTATTAAATATTATTTAAAGGGGGCTGGAGAGATGGCTCAGAGGTTTTCAAGATTTTATTTATATTTTTAATCCCCTTTCCTGTGTGTGTGTGTGTGTGTGTGTGTGTGTGTGTGTGTTCACATGCTCTTACACAGGAGCATAGGTGCTCCTGCAGGTGCTTGCAGAGACCAGAGTTGTAGGAGCCCCTAGATCTGGAGTTACAGGTGGTTGTGAGCTGTCTGACATGGGTGGTGGGAACTAAACTCAGGTTCCTGCAAGAGCAGTCTGTGCTTTTAATCACTGGGCCATCTAACCAGTCCTATTGTTTCTTTTCTTTTTCTATCTTTTTTTGGGGGTGAGGAGCAGAGTCTTGAGACATGGTCTCTCTGTGTAGCCTGGCTGTCCTGGAACTCTCTCTGTAGACCAGGCTGGCCTCGAACTCACAGAGATCCGCCTGACTCTGCTTTCTGAGTGCTGGGATTAAGGGCATGCACCACTACAGCCTAATGGCTCAGAGGTTAAGAGCACTGTCAGCTCTTCCAGAATTCCCAGTGGCCACATGGTGGCTCACAACCATCTATCATGAGATCTGGTGCCCTCTTCTGGTATGCAGGCATATATGCAGGCAGAACACTATATACATAATAAATAAATTTTTTAAACATTATTTAAATATGAATGTTCATAGCATATTAGTAGATAGATATCGTATAGTCCTAGAACTCAGGGCTGACAATGGTTGGAAAAATAGCTTCAACTATTCATTATATTATTATTTAGGGCAGAAGTAACTTATTTGTAACAAATTTTGAATAGCCAAAATTTTACATATTTAAGCAAACAGATAAGTGACATCTGATATTCACCATGTTTTCAGTCCATTCTCAAAAAGAGTTTAATCAAATAATTTTGCAGACACCTATGTAGTAGTGCTACAAAGAAATCTACTTGTCCTAGTAAAGATATTTTTAAAGTAGCCAGGTCATCTTAGACTTGTGCAGAACTTTAAAACCAGGCTCTAAGAAATTATGAGCCATCATAAGGAACAAAATCATATTCTTCATCCGATACAGGAATTATAACTTCACACATGTGTAAGGCACACTACCACTGTGACTAACATAGATGAGGGTAAAGCAGTACCCCCTGTGTCAAGGCAAAGCACTTAAGATAGGACTGGATGAAAATTGATGTTGAGGCTAAGGAGAGATAGAATAAGCCGCATGTTAGAGGTAAACACTGCTATGACAAAAATTAAAACAGAGTGTAATGTGCTCAGGCTGTTTTAGAACAGTTTTATTGTAACTTTCCACTGTGAACTGTGGTGGCTTCATAGCCTCTTGGTTAGGAGTATGGGCCCTAGAGTACCTCGAGGTTTGAATTCTGGCTGTATGCTAATTATATGTGGAATCCTGACAAGTTGCATGATGTCTGAGCTTCAGATTCTTCATCTATAAAACAAGGACATGTAGAGCTGGGGAGACGCTCTGTGGGTAAAGCTCTTCTGTATGTGACAGGATCGGGATTCAGTTGCCCAGTAGCCATATGAATGCAGGAGGTCATGGCAGTCTGGGGGACACAGGGACCCCCAAAGCAAGCTGCCTAGCTAGATCAACTGAATTAGTGAGTTCTGGGTTCAAGTGAGAGACCTTTCCTCGGTATGTAAGGTGGAGAATGATTGAGGAAGACACTTGGCATCAACCTCTGGCTTTCACCTGTATACACACACATGCACTTGTGCGCACACGATCCCACACACAAACACACATGCATGCCCACCACATACATACAAAATAAAAATTCCCTCTAAAATGAGGATGCTAATAGTACCCATCTCTAGAAATACACTTATTTAAATAAGTTCATTTTTTGTAAGGAACAGACTGGGACAAAGCACACAGGGAGCATGTGGCTCACACTTTCATCTGTAATCTTTATGGAGTCATGACTGTCAGTGTGTCCCTCTTTGACGGCCCTCATGAGTAGCAAAACCATGCTCTCTGTTGGCTTATTTATTTGTCTTCTCACCCTAGAGGGAATCCATTATTTACTACACTATACCTATATTACCAAGAACAGTGTCTGCTACATAGTAGGTATCCTGTAAATACTTGCTAGATGAAAATGTGTATGTTGTATGTATATATTCTTACTGATTAAAGTGATTTAGACTAGGAATTGTGAACATAAGCAGGAACAGTGTGCAGCAAGGCTGACATTGGCGGGGGACTGAGTTTACTTTGAGAAAAAGAGGGCTATAAGCAAATGTCATCATTAGGTACACATCATCTGTGTGGCTTATCATCTAACCCTCTCTGCAAATCAAGATAAATGAGTTATATAAAGAGAAGATTATTCATGCCGCTCCAGGTAGGCTACGCTCTGTGCTTATGCCCTGCAGAAACCAATAATTATTTCTAACTCCTGTCTTCTTCCAGGCTGGAGATATAATAACAGAGCTGGAGCCCATAGATGATGACTGGATGAGTGGAGAGCTAATGGGAAGATCTGGAATATTTCCCAAAAACTACGTTCAGTTTCTGCAAGTCAGCTGAAGGTGAAGCTTGGCTGTTCCTGGGCACAAGAACTCACTTGAACACTCACTTTGACTATCAGATATTTTGCACTATTTTTTTTAACGGAAAGAGAACTATCTAAGCTGTATGTGGTACACTAGGGTTTCTGAGAGCAGAAAACTTGTAGGTTTTATAGTTTAGCTTCATTCGTAGTGGAAGGGTGTACATAAATCGGAAGTGAGGAAGCCAGGAAGGAAACATTAGTGGGGACAGCGGGCAGATGCACACTTTCCCAGGAAATCATCTGGTGTTGGCAGCGTGGGGAGGCTAATGATAGGAACTGTACTCATACACCTGTCCCCATCAACACACTGAATTAACCCTGCTTCTTCATTTTCTACTTTAGTTTAAAAAGAGGACTTTGACGTTCTACATGCTGTAACTATCAGGACATGGATGGTAATCAGAATTTCATTTTTTGATACTCAAATTAATTCTAACAGCTTGAGCACATGAGTCTTAGTCCCAGGGCAAATTCTTGCTTCTGGACAGATAGTGTGGTAACTAGAGGAACATTTATAAGCAGGTGGGGAAATGAGCTCAAGTTTCCCCCTGAATGTTCCTTGTATTCCCAGAATTTCCCATTTGTCCAGGGACTTGAAGGGGTCAAAAGAACCAAAACCATCCCTGAGATGCCTTGCTAATACAACTAACCCTTCCACAGACATGCCACACTTATCTCTTTGTCCATGTATACTTTATGTTAACAGGGTTATTATAAAGCACACTTTCTGAATCTGCAATCATTCCTTTGACAATTACTGGTACCCAAGGAAAACTCATTTTCTTTGCATTACCCCAGTAATACATAAAAGCTGTGTCTTGTTATAGTAGTACATTATGAATCATGGATAGTATCTTACAATACAGAGCAAATGGGTAAGATGAAAAATAGTGGCAAGGCCTGGTAGCTCATTCATTTCTTCTCAATATAATCAGAAGAAAAAATAATTTAAGAGGACTGAAGGCTGGTGCAGCTCCCCACCCCACCCCCTGGTCATCCCTGGAGTTATTGGAGTAAACACAAGACCACTTCCCTGCCGACTAGGGTATCACATTTTGAGCTTAAAAAGTGGTTCTTGCATGACTGAATCAATTACCGTTTACAAACTAAAGCCAAATGGATTGAAGACAATCTTCCTGATGGATCAGTGGGTTAACATTTCACTGGAAATGTGAAACACTTCCCAACAAGGTTTGTGGCTTTCTTCTGTTTTTGAGAAGAGTGCCATATGCTGGACCACTTCTTAGTTTCCATTGTTTTCCCCATTATCCAAATAGCTGGGTAGCCAATGATTATCTGAACATGTGGGTGCTATAAGGAAGTAATATTTACTTTGACTTTGACTAAATTTCCTATCCCTGGAATATCATTACATTTCCTTTTTGGAATTTAGGACCTGTACTATGTTTTGAGTGAAGAATGTATAAGGAAAATTCTTGTCAGTTTTCAATCAAATTAATTTCATGGGACTGGGATAACTTAAAGTGTTATCCAAACTAAATTCTCATTTGCAGCCAGCCGTACAAGCACATGAAGGGGTCAAGGGTGAGGAGTGGGCCATGAAGCGTCTTTGCTTATGGGATTTCAACATCTAATAGTAAAGATTCTGAAAAATCTAGCTTTATTGAAGAAAAAAAAAATCCCTCTTATATGTTGGCCTTCTGTAAGCAGAATGATAAGTGCAATAGTTGTGTATCTACTTTACACTATAATAAACTGAACTGAACTTTTCAATTCCTTATCTACTATACTGCATTTTTCAGAATGTAGACAGTATCTTACTTATCCTTGTATCTCCAGTCCTTTGCCCAGGTGGGTGAGGTGGCTCTGTGCTAGGTGGGTTTGTTGTACAGACAGATGGATGACTTCACAGGAAGCAACAACACTATCAAGTCTACTCAATACTTTTCCTCTTTGTTTGCAGAAATATATATTCAAACAAATTTTTTGTCATTTCACTCTACCATGTTGTTTTTGCTATTTATTTCTCCCAGCTAATTGAAAGCAAAATGTATCTGTGGGGTTTTCATAGGTATTATTTTAATATATATATATATATTGAAGTCAAGGCAAATATCAACAATGCTCCAAGAACAACAAAAACAATTTATAAGAAAGAAATGGGAATGGATTGTTAAGTTTGTTTCCAGAATTTTTAGGTGAAAGCTTGACATTGTTCATCTTTGTCTGTCAGCTTTTGATAGCTGTGATAAAATACCTGATTATAAACAACTTAAAGAAGAAAATATTTGTTTTGGCCTTGTTTCAGAGTTTTCAGTCCAAGAGCATCTGGCTCCACCACCGTGGACTTGAGGCATGCCAGAACATCATGGCGGAGAGCTGCACCATATAGAATCCATGACAGAAGAGACAGGAGAGGGAGGGGAAAGCAGGAAACAGGAGGAGAGAAAAGAAAGGGCCAGGCACAAGTCATGCTCTTCAAAGAAACATCCCCAGTAGCCTTCATCCACTTTCTTAATAGCCCACTCGGCAGTCAATTCATCAGTGGATCCATCCATCAAGGACTAGTGCATTTGTCAGGACCTGATTACATTTAAGTAGTGCCTATAGACAGACAGCAAATCCTTCAACACATGGTCCTTCTGGGGACACCTTCACACCCAAACCACACATCATACAAACCTCTGGAAATACTTATTTTTTTTAAATTAGGTTAAAATTAGTGAGGCCATTTTTAATATATTGCCTTGTTTTGGTTTTGTTTTTTTCTTTGTAGTATGGGGGATTGAACCCAGTCCTTGTGCTTAGCTGCATTCCCCCAACACAATATATTATCCTTTGAACCCTAAAAAGGTGGGGTGTTTCCTTAGGTGCTCTTGTATACCTTGCTGTAGTACGAATGTAACTTCTTTCATTGCTTTTGGAAATCAGTTGGTAACATTTAGAAGAGAAACAGTGTATTTATCAAAATGTATTATTAGAACTGACATCTCATAGGACTGTATGGCAGTGTCCCTAAAAATCGATGTTTGTATTCAGTTTCTTCAATTTAATTACATAAGCCTGAGAAAACAGTGGATATGAAGATGAGTCACACAGGTGTGAACATCAATGGTTTCTTGTAATTAATGTCAGATGCACATAGGCCACAAAATTCGTGATTCAATGCCATTTTGAATGTCTTTGAGTGAATCCATAAGCTGATATTCAGAACTAATGGGAAATTATTTTCTACCTTACTTTGCACTTCACTGTGTGGGAAGAACAGAATCCAGAGCCTCCTTCAGAACACTGCCACCATCTAGGGGCTTCTCCTTGCATTACAAGGCTCTTCTACCACAGAGCCCTCAGGAGGTTAAAGGACTTGGCCAAAGTCACTGGCAGAGCCCTGAGTATAGCCTATCTCAGCTAATGACCAATCCAGTGTCTTTTCCGTTTATTAGGCTAAAATGATGTGTTTCTCTGTGGCTGTTAAAAACTTTTATGTGGCTAGAGAGATGGCTTAACATCCTGTTCTTCCAGAGGACCCAGCACCCATGACAGGCAGCTCACAGCTGCCTGCAACTTCACCAAGAGTACCTGAAACCTTTTCCAAACCCCAAGGACACCTATATATAGGTGGCTTTCACTCACACAGAAACAAAGATATTAATAAAAATAACTACCTCCCAGAGCACTGGAATAGAGTAATGGAATTAAAGGTGAGTGCCTGGCTGGTTTTGTTGTTGTTGTTGGGTTAGGGTTACAGATGGTTTTGAGCTACCATGTGGGTGCTGGGAATTGAACTCAGATCCTCTGCAAGCACAACCTGTGATCTTAACCACCAAGCCATCTCTCAGCCCCTGAAATGCTCTTTCAAATAGAGAAGTACAAGCCAACCTGGCTGTGCATGCATTTAGGAGGTAGAGGCAGGCAGTCCAAGGGTACTTGGTTAGTCAGTGAATTCAAAGCTAGCCTGGGCTATATGAGACTGTCTAGGAGGACAATTTGTGGGGGGAGAAGTCCTGTCAGTCTGTTTTGTATAGACATTGTATACCAATGTTACCTAGAAACTCAAGCTGTAAGCTCATCCACTAATGGACAGTTCCTTTTTCTGTGACTGCTTACCCGTCAGGTCTGTAGATTCGTAAGGCTGTGTGTGCAACAAGCCATCTCCAAACTACATGTCAGATAAAGTAATACAAGATGAGTCTGGAGAACATTCTGGATGATGTTAAACAAACCCTAATTGTATATACAGTAGGGACTGTTTCTTTATCTACTACAAATAATTCACCAACATTCTTTTCAGCATGATTCCAATTCATAATTCAGAAAATATTACATATTGGTTGTCTGCTTTTCAAAATTAACCAGCAATCTTTCTGTTGTTTGTAACAGGGTCTTCTCCCTATGTAGTTCAGGCAGAACTAACTCATGAATACCCTGCTTGAGCCTCTCAAGTGCTAGAATTAGTCGTTAGCCACATCTGGCTGACTAACAATCTAAATTACCATACTGTATTTATTTTTTCTTTTTATTTTTAACTTATTTTTTAAAGAAAACATATGAAAAAAACAAAAAGCAAGATGTGGTGGTGAAAGCCTTTAATCCCAGCACTCAGGAGGCAGAGGCAGGTAAGAGGCCAGCTTAGACTACAAAAGGAGTTCCAGGACAGCCAGAAAAACACTGTCTCAAGAAACAAAAGAAAGAAAAGGAGCTAGACATGATGAAACACAGTTGTTCTCAGCTACTTGTTAGGGCTGGAATGTCAAAGACACTTCAGCCTAAGAGGGTTTAAACCCAAATTTGAATCTGAAGCCAATATGGGCAATATAGTAAAACCTTGTATCTAAATAATTAAGAGCCAGGCACATGGGCGCTGGTGACTCGCACCTTTAATCCCAGCACTCGGGAGGCAGAGGCAGTCGGATCTCTGTGAATTCGAGACCTGCCTGGTCTACAAGAGCTAGTTCCAGGACAGCCTCCAAGGCCAGAGAAACCCTGTCTCGAAAAACAAAACAAAACAAAAAAAGAAGAGCCAGGAGTTTGAGGTTAGCCTGGTCAATATAGTGAAATCTAGGCCAGCCAGAGCTACCTAGACTCTGCCTGGAAAACAAAAACAGTGGCACATCCTATAATCCAAGCACTTGGTAGATAGAGGCAGGAGGATAAGGAGTTCAAGGCTATCCTTTGATACATAGTTAATCCACAAGCTACATGAGGCCATCTCAAAAACAAAACCTATCAATCTACATTTATTTCTCCAATCATGCAGAAATATTTTTTATTAAGAGTCCTGACTCAAAGACCATTGCAGCCGACCACATTGTTTTCCAGGCCCCCAAGTGTCCATTACTCTTCAAAGGCCTCAGTGTGCCAGGCAGTGGTAGTGCACACCTGTAATCCCAGAATGGGAGGCAAGGACAAGTATATCTCAGTGGGTTTTTGTACAGCCAAAGATACACAGAGAATCCCTGTCTTAGAGTGGAAAGGGGACAGGGCTCAGTGCATTTAACCCTCCAGTTCAGTAGCACCAAGACAGTAGTACTGTCTTCTCTGGATGTATGAGGATGTTGACATGATTTTTAAAAACATACAAGAGTGGTGAAAAAGTGGTGAGCAAACAAGCAGGTCAGAACTCTGTGGGGCCAGGAGCAGGCCCAAGTAACCCCTAGGGCACTCCAAGTACGGTGAGATGGTGCATGTCTTGAATTCCAATATTCAAGAGACAGAGACCAAAAGATCAACAAGGAGTTTGAGGTTAGCCTGGTCAATATAGTGAAATCTAGGCCAGCCAGAGCTACCTAGCTAGACTCTGTCTGGAAAACAAACAAACAAACAAACAAACAAACAAAAAAGCAAATAGCAAACTAGATGTGGTGACACAAGCCTTTAATCATCACTTGGAAGGAAGAGGCAGGCTAATCTCTGTGAGTTTAAGGTCAGCCTGGGCTACATAGTGAGTTTCTGTACAGAGCTCTATAGTAAGACCCTCTCTCAAAAAAAAAATGTATGTGGGAGACAGAGGCAGGTGGATCTCTGTGAGTTCGAGGCCAGCCTGGTCTACAAAGCTACACAGAAGACCCTGTCTCAAAAAGCCCCACCCCACCCCTGAGCAAAAGAAAAACAACAAAAAACAGGCTCACACCTTTAATTCCAGTGCTCTGGGAGGTAGTCTGGTGTATCTGAGTTCAAGACCAGCCTGGTCTTTGGGTGGGTTACACAGAAACTGGGGGAGGAGGGAAGCACACAGAAAACAAAAACCACACGTCTGGTGGATCTCTGAGTTCAAGGCCAGCCTGATCTACAGAGAGAATTCCAGTACAGCCAGGGGGGTTACACAGAGAAACAGGTGGGGGTGGGGGGGACACAGAAAGCAAAAAACACAAACCAAACAAACAGCAAAAATAAAAGTACTGAATCCCTGCAAATGTGAATCTCAAGTGGTCTAACCATCCTGTTGTTGGTTCTTCCTACTGGATGGGTAGACCACTTCAGGATCATATTCTAGGGGATGGATACAAAAGATTTTGTGAGAACGAAGTAAGAATGAGACCTTATGGAAACTGAGTACCTCAGGCAGGAAGAGTTTCAGGACCACATTCTCTGCTGCTAGGAGTCACTATTGTCAGGCCACTAATGATGCTGCGTCTGACCTTTGGGATGCTGGATAGCATTATCAGATCCAACCCCATGACTCTTATAAGTGGTACCCAGGCCCTGGTCCTGATTACCACAGAAGCCAAGAACCCCATGACAGGGAGAAAGTGTCCAGTTCCAAATAAGTGTGAAAAGTAAGTTCAGTGTGGAAAGCATGCATAGGATAGACAGGATACCAGAGTGCAACAAAATCAATGACCTGGTTGGCTACACCCAATTTTAAATCAAGTCATAACTTACATAAAATAAATGGATATTAAGCAATTCTATAAATTTTGATACCATATACAATCAATATATGAAACAATTGTCTACAAAGTTCCTTCACACCCCTTTCCAGTCACTATACCCCTTACCAACTCCCATACTTTTAATACCAGCACTGGGGAGGCAGACAAGCAGATCTGACATCAAGGCCAGCCTGGTCTACATAGCAAGTTGCAGGGACAGCTAGGGCTAGAGAAACCTTAAAACATACAAAATTTAAAAAGTAGATCAAGGCCAAGTTGGTGGTGCATACCTCTATTCCTACAGAGACTGTCTGGTGTGTGTACCTGAGATCAGTGCTGCAGGTTGGCTTCAGCTGTGCCCTCAAGTCCTGCTGATGGTAACCTTAATGAAATGTCTGAATGGGTCTGACTCTAGCCTCTGTTGGTTAGATTAACTGTAGCCCTCAGAATAGCATGAAAAGTCAAGGTTGTCCAATAGTGTGTCAATCAGGAGTGACAGGCAAGATGCCACAAACCCTGTCTCTACATTTGAATTCTAGTACATATGCTATGTCAAAAATATAACCCATTGGCTGCTCTTGGCCTGGACCGTATCATATATTTACATCCTGTGTGTAATCCTGAAGGATGAGGTAATATCAAGAACAGCGGGCTTGCTTCTACTTGCTACCAAAGTGAAAATCTTAAAATGCCCTGTACCATAACCCATTATAGTATGGGCCCTCAGGATTTAGAGGCACAGAAAACAAGGAACATAAAATTCAGCCAATACTTTGAGTGAAGGCCTCACTTTCTGATCCAGTAGCCTGTCTTCTGCCAGGATTTATGAAACTGCAGCAAACCCACATGTATAAAACACAGCACCAAGCCAATGTGACTTCTATAGTAAATATCTGAGGGCTGTAGAGATGGTGCAGTGGTTAAGAGCACTGGCTGCTCTTTGCTAGCACTCATATGATCATTCAGTTACCAGTTAATTCTGGCTCAATAGATCTGATGTCCCTGGGGACCAGGAGTGTTTGTGCATACATGGAAGCAAAATAGGCACACACAATATTTCAGCAGCTATTGGCCAGCTTCCTGTCGTGGTGTTTGGTTGCTTGGCACTACTGCCTTTGTGCCTAAGTGACAGTCTAACATATGAGGTGGGTGTGGCAGAGGAGGCTACATACTACATGGCAGGTTCAGATGCTGTTGGTAATAGCAGTGGTCACAGCACAGTAGTCCACTAGCAAACCAGGTGAGATGCCGTTGATTCAGATGATTGTGGGGCTAAAGATAGTGGTTCCAACTGGAAGTTCTGCCTTTCAGGATACCTGGCAGTGCCTAACAGCATTTCTTCCACAACTAGGGTGTTACTGGTATCTATCTAGTGGGTAGAGACCAGTGACCCTGCTAAATACCCCACATTGTACAAGGCAACTTGTACTTGAACTATCTGGTCAAAAACAACAGATACCCTCTTTGTGACTATGGGCTCCTGGTCTCTTCTACTGCATTCCCACAAGGTAAATAGGCCTCCTCAGCCACACTTGCCATGATGTACCTGCCATGCCACCACAGGCCCAAAGCAATGGGGCCAGTTGGTCCTGAACTGAAACCTACAAATCTGAGCCCAAATAAACCACTCCTCTTTCATTGACAAACTTAAGATACTGTTTAGTCACAGAACGATGGTATACCACTTTATGTGAAAACAACATGAAGCCAAGTTGCTGCTTCTCCAAACATCCAACTTCTTTACTTTCAAGTCTCTTGCACAATGAATCAAAGTTCTAAACAGACCAACAAACTCTACTGGAGGTCTGCATGCAATACCTCTACAGGTGGCAATGATAGAACCAGTAAAGCTTGATTGAGATTGCCAAGTACTGTTTGTCCTATGAGTTAAAACCTTTAAACAAGATAAGTTCTAGAAACACTTGTCACTGAACTCTACCCCATAACAAACAGTAGTTTGTTCCATTGAAAAAATTCTTAAGCAGGGCGGTGGTGGCCCACGCCTTTAATCCCAGCAGAGGCAGGTGGATCTCTATGAGTTCGAGGCCACCCTAGTCTACAGAGCAAGTTCCAGGCCAGGCTCCAAAGCAATACAGAGAAATCCTGCTTGAAATAAAAAAGAAAATTTTTTAAATTGTGCATGGTGACACTTATCTGTAATTCAGCAACTCATAAGACAAGTTAAAAGCCAGCCTGGGCTATACCCTTAACCCATCTTGGGCTGGAACGATGGCTCAGCATTCTTGTAGAGCTGAGTTCCCAGCACCCAGAACAGGGAGATCACAACTGCCTGTTGACTCCACCACTTTCAAGGGATCAGATGTCTCTGGCCTAACCTTCAATCATGTATGGACACATGAAAACCACATACACATACAAGAGTTAAAAACCCATCTTGGTCTTCCACTCCCCCCTCCAAAAACCAACTGTCCTAATAATGCCCTAAAAATGGGACTCTACTGGAACACTGAGCATTAGTGCCCAAGCATATACACATTGCCACGTTTAGCAACGGGAACTAAAGTACCACAGGCAAATACAATGTACAGTTGAGGCGGGATCTTGAGTTCAAGGCCAGCTTGGGCCACATGGTAAGACCCTATATAAAAAGTTGGTGGGATAAAATTCCGGGAAAGGACTACAGACTACAAAAGCAAGCTCCCAGACCATCATAGTTAAATTGCCTCACAAAACAAAGTAAAGCTACAATGAGTAACTTGGAAAATCTCTGCTACCCACAAAGATTGTCCAGGCCTTTTGGTAGCTCACTCCTATGATCCCAGAACTAGTACGTGGAAGCAGGAGCATCAGAAGGTAAGACCAACCCCAGGGGTAGGTGGGGTGGGGGTCTAGAGCACTGGTTACTCTGCCAGAGGATCCTGGTCCCATTTCTATACCCACATGGCAGTTGACAGATGTTCTATCCCTCCAGTTCCAGATCTGATGCCTCTAACCTCTGCAGGTTGCTGCACACATGTGGAGTATATATTCACTCAGCCACACACATACACATAAAATTAAAAAAAAAAACTTTTGAAACAATTTAAGAATTCAAGTCTGGCAGTGGTGATGCACACCTTTAATCCTACACTTGGGAGGCAGAGGCAGGTGGATCTCTGAGTTCAAGGCTCAAGACCAGCCTAGTCTGCAGAGCTAGTTCCAGGACAGCCAGGGCTACCTACACAAAGAAACCCTGCCCCCAACCCCAAACCAATAAATTCAAGAGAATATTGTTCTGAGAACTTCCTGAGAAGTGATTATCTAAGAACAAGCTTCAGATAACCAAGTAACTGCAGTCATTAAGCATGACTATCATGTCCAAACACTTAAAGCATTGGAGCCAAATGAAGACCAGAAGGTATCATAGTCAGTGCTGCTAATACCTAGAGTTAACTGTTGCCACTTGTCTTCCCTGATTTAGAAAAAGCCTGCCCACATTGCCTCTTATACGTTAGCAGATGACTTCTCAATTCTCCCTTATGTAAGAATTCCCAATTACAATGACCCATCTTGATGAAGGTCTCTCTAGGACTTACCCTTTCAAGTTACTCTACAGTTAGGGTTACTCTTGGTTGAAACCAATGCAAGGTTTGCTATCTTGATCACAAAATTTGTCTTTCTAGGGCAGACTTAGGAAAATGATCCAAAGATCTATAGATAATGAAGTTTCTATTAACCCCATTGAAGCATTTGTTGTAACAAACTTTCAGAGTGGCCTATAGGTAGGTTTTGCTCTAATATATGTGCACCACACAGCATACCTGGTGCCCAGAGATCCCAGAAAAGGGTATGGGATTTCTTTGTACTTGAGTTTTGGTTGGTTGGGTACCAAGAACTGAACCTAGGTCCTCTGCCATGAGCAGCAAGTTCTCTTAATGGCTGAGTCACCTCTCAAGCTCCTGGCCTAACAATTACAATTAACAATTTTTAACTCTTTTTTGAGCCTTTCCAAATAAACACAAAAGTCACAAGTTCAGGTCACATTAAACAATACCTGATTCTCCAAGTTGTCATATTTTAAAACAATGTTCAGAAGCAAACCATCATCACAAATAAGACTTTTTATTTGTCACTATTAAAAATCTGGATTTTAAACAGATTCTTGGACTGGTGGTTCATATCCATCAGCTCGTTCAACTTTAGCACCTGTCTCATCACCAGTAGTTTTTCCAGAACTACCTCCTTCACCATGGAGCTCCATGAGTTTTCCCACTAAAAGGGGAGGGGAAAAAAAAAAAAAAACCTGTTATAAACAAGTACCACAACTTAAAACAATGCTCTTTCATTCTATACAAACAAAGCAACAGACCATTGTCTTTTTTTTTTTTTTTTGAGACAGGGTTTCTCTGTGGCTTTGGAGGCTGTCCTGGAACTTGACTGGCCTCGAACTCAGAGATCCGCCCGCCTCTGCCTCCCAAGTGCTGGGATTAAAGGCATGAGCCACAAACGTCTGGCCAGACCATTATCTTACACTTAAAAATTTACACTAATTCCAGGCCATGGTGGGGCACAGCTTTAATCCCAACACTAGGGAGGCAGACAGATGGATCTGTGACTTCCAAGCAAGCCAAGGCTACACAGTGAAACTGTCTCAAAAACAAAACAAACAAAAAATTACTAAAGAGGTAGCTCAGTGGTTAAGATCACTTGTTCTTGGCAGAAGAGCTAGAACCCAGCTTGCAACCACCTGTTAACTCCAGTCCCAGCGGAACTGAAGCCTCTTCAGAAGATCAAGATCGCCAATATGCATGGTGCCTATACATACACACGGGCAAATTACTACAAATCAGTCATTAAAAAACAATCATGTATTTGGCCCCACAAATTTTCATCCCATGAATCCTGATTTCTCACTTACATTCAAACTTGGGTTTCTTCAGCATTTTTACTTTTCTAACGAAGACATCATGAAGAGGATAAATGGACTGGCAAGCCTTTTCTATGTCTTTCCCAATGCTGTCTGGAATCCTGCAAGACCAGCAAACTTTTAAAAAGCAACCAAGCAAACAAGAAACCAACCAAGGCAAGTTTTTCACATAAGTACTTTACATGGAAAAAAAGCAGCTTAATTAAAGTCATCCTATTTAAAGATGGCCATAATATCTAACATCTAAGTCTTCCTTATTTGCATAGCATCCTCATTTGTATTCCACATGGGAACATCAGAAAAATGTTTCCTTATCAGCATACATCAACTGGGACCGAAACATTTTCTCATCATGTATTCCCATACATTATTGTATATCTTCTAAGTTAACACCTAAGTTTCACTATCCACCGCTAATAGAGCTTCAGCCAAAACCCAGCAATTTTAAAGGATGAAAAATAAAACCCACTTACAACTTATTAACCACTTCCTTCAAGTCATTTGTCTGTACTTCTCGGGTCATGATTTCCATCATCTTCTTGCGGATCTGGCGGACCTGCTGGTGCTGTGCATAGGAGGTCTTGCGTATCTGGTTGTTGCGTTTTTTAGTAAAACCAACACAGAACAGACGGAGCAAATAACCATCAGTCGTCTTGACATCCACATGGGCTTCAATCATAGTCTAGGGAGAAAATGATACTGTAAGATCCAATAGTTTGTTTTTCTGAGACAGGGTCTCACCCTAGCTTTGGCTATCCTCCCCTGCCTGTGCACACCACCTCCATCAGCTTTTGCAATAGCTTTTAGGGCCTCAATCAACATAAAAAAAGCTTGGAATGTCAAACCCATTATGTGACATAAAATATGAATGTCTAGTTCACATTTTTCTTAAAATGAAATGAGATTCTTACCATCTTCTAAACCATCACTGCCATCTCAACTGGAACCCACACCCTTTACTAGTGTACCTATCAACAGTCACCCTGGCCCCAAATGGAAATTTGAAAGTTACACTAGAAGACCACACACAGGATAAGACCACATGAATGTTTTCATCTCTTAAAAAGAAAATACAGGTTGTGTGTGGTAGCTTTAATCCCAGCACTAAGCAGGAGGCAGAAGAAGTTGGATCTCTAATAAAGAGTTTGAGTCCATCATGGTCTACATAACAAGTTCCATGCCAGTCTGAAGAAATAAAAACTCCAGTAACACAATGACACGTTATCTACAATTCCTTTGCTTAGAATACAAAGGCAAATCACAAGTTCAAGGCCAGCTTGGTCTACATAGCAAGCACCATACCTAAGAGGCTAGGGATCCTTTCTCCAAAGGAAAAAAGTTCTGCCATAAGAGCATTTTAAATCCCTTTAAATCCAAACTAAAGCCATGCCAAGGATTTAAATATATAACCCTACAGATAAATCTAAATAAAAACCATAATTGGGCCACATTTCCATCTTTTAAAGGGCCATTTTAGTGGCAAAATGATTTAATCTCTTTGCATTTTATAAATTATGTACCTTGACTTTTAAAATATACCCAGTATCTGCCATGAGTGGTGGCACACATCTTCAGTTGTAGCACTCAGGGGGGCAGAAACAGGTGGATCTTTGTGAGTTTGAGGCCAGCCTGGGCAGCCTAGTAAGACCCTGCCTCCAAAAAAAAAAAAAAAAAAAAAAAAAACTTGACTTCCACTGCAAAAGTTATTTATTGCATGTATTAAACAACTTTTTACTTCCAGAATTGCATAATCTGTAAGGGAATGTCAGAAAAACATGTAACGGTAAAATCAGGATGTTTCATTTGGGACCGAAACATTTTGTCATCATTCATTCCCATATTGTAATATGCCAATACTGTTACCTGGATACATCGGAATAATATCTCCTGAAATGACATGGTTACCCTGTGCTGAAGCTCAATTACCTGCATCAGCTATTTCATCTTCACAACTCAACGAGCTGATTTTACAAATGAAGAATCGAGCTGCTAAGCTTGTTACTTTCCAAAGACAAAATATGGAGACTGAATGACTTTAGCCCCACAACAATGTCCTGTCACTGTTATACACCACTGTCAGAGACAGTCAAATTAGTTAGAGCCACCTTTTCACCATAAATATACTCTCAACTGGCAAAGCTGCCCGCCTTGCCTATCGTCCTTCTATCAGTAAAACACTTGGCAAGAGGCTACAGCTCAGTTTAAGAGTGACAGCCCATGTGGAAACCGGTGGGTTCTACCTCTAGCACCAAAGAATAAACAGCACCTTGGCCACACGTTAAAACTTTGTCATCCATGAGGGCAGGGGAGTTCAGAAGGAACTCAGAGAAGTGGGTGAAAGACCAAACTGATTGCAGTTTTATCTCTAGAAGCTAGCTAAACAATATATAAACACAGTGGGAAAATAAAATTGTTCACTCTTCAAGTGAAAACAATTTTCATGTCATGTTTTACCGATGTATATAAACCTTACGGCAATGTGTAACACCAAGAAAACAAAGGGTTGAAATAAAATCTAACTCCATTTCATGTTTTGATCCTTCCCATCCCGGCACCATGACATCTTTGCACATGCTCAAATGCAGTCTGGGGGGTCTCACCTGCCACTTTTTGACCATGGAGCACATCTTGTCCCGGGTAAGATCCATGCCATGGAAGTTAGTCAGACAGTTTTTGCCCTGAACATCCTCAGTAATTAGCTTGAATTTTCTAAATGCAACTTCGTCATTCTGCAGATCAGCAAGGCTCACTTCAAACACACGACCCTTGAGGCCATCAGATGCAATTTCTACGAAAGAACCAAAGAACCCATTAAATTGTTTCAAAAACCCACTTGGACATCAATGACTTACCAGCAATACCCAACCAAACATTTTCTTGGCTAACTCTAAAAACACCTCCTTGCTGCTACAAACACACCGCAAATGCCAAATCTGCAAGCACTGGGCAGATTTTCCCATCACAGAACAAAAAAAAATAGCAGGCCCAGGTGCCTGTTAAAATACACACGCAACAGCTTAAGGACAAAGCAAAACAAGTATTGGTACTCACTGGTTCCTTGAGTCCTCGTGACTAGTGTTTTCCCAATGTTTCTAATATTGAACATCGCAGGCGCTTTCACGTCATACCAGTCTTTCTTCGAAAATGGATCAACCCTAGATTTGAGAGAAACAGACTCAAGCTTCTTTGTAATAAATCCCAAGACTGCCACTGCCAACTCTTAAACTTTCCTCGTCCTTACTTCCGCTGACAATGTCCCCGGCAAAAAAAAAATCTTAAACCGGCTTGTCTTTAATACAAAATGACGCCCCTCACCGTGATGAGCCTAAGGCCGGCGTGCCTGTCAACAGGACAAACCGGTAAGCTGGAAACCATGCCTTTCCCGCTCCTCCACCCCACAGGCGGCATTTCAGACTATCTCGGAACCTGGAGGTCCTGTGACATTAACTATTCCGTGACAGCACGGACCGGTCAGCAAGTGTCGGGAGCTCCCAGGCAGGGTCCACGAGGCCCCAGCGCAGGAGCCAGCGACTGCCGAGCCCAGATGTAGAAGGGACATTAAAAGTGCCCAGGACCATTAAGTCACCCAGAGCCCACAGATCGCTACACGTGACGAAAGCCCGGCTCACACGCGGGCGCGACGCCCGGCCCGGCCGGGGAAGAGGCGGCCGTCTGGAGCGCACCGGCCAGCGGCGTCGCCGCGCAATCCGCCCCGCATCCTCACCATCCGCCCCACGCTGCAGCCCAGAACCAGCCCGCCAACTCCTGTGGGACCCAAAGAGCGGGGATCCGCAAAATGCGCCACTTACACTTTCTTCTTGGCGCCCTTCTTGCCGCCTTTCGTCAGGCGCTTATTCTTGCCGACCGCCATGGTGCTGCTGAGAGAGCCAAAAGGGCGGAAGTAGTACCCGCGCGAGAACTTACGCGAGCTGGGCGGGGAGCGCTGTCTACGTGACCCTTGCTCTTTCGCCCTTCCGGCTTTCTCAATCTCGCGACACGAGTCAGCGGCTCCCCCCCCCCCCCCTGCGACAGCGCCCTCGTGTGTCGGGAGGCCGCGCAGCGGGCCGCGGGGCTGGCTGGGCGACTTCGCTGAGGTCAGGAGCGCGCAGGCCCGGCAGAGGCGCGCACACCAGGTTTCCTGTGGTTCCAGTTGCCCCCAGGGTGGGAAGTTTCCGTACGAGGAGAAGCCCTCTGAGCTGTCTCGTGTTCTAAACTTTGAGAGTTTGTTTCTTTCCTAGAGCCTGGGCTTTGAATCGGAGACAGCAAGTTCATGTTCAAGAGGTGGTTTGAACAGTACTTAGCCTTCCGACCTCTCTGGCCTTCTGTCCCCTCACGTGTAAAATGGGAATAATGATATGATCTACTTCAAAACGTTGGTATAATTAAATAAGCATAACTCCGGGCATGCTGCTCACGTCCCGCGCGTGCTGATTTGGATTCTGATTAGTCTCGGGTATGGGTGTTTTGTGAACATGCATGAAGATAGAGGCTCAGCTGGGGTGGTAACGCATGCCTGCAATCCCAGAGCTCTGGAGGCAGGACAACAAATTAGAGGACTGTGAGTTCCAGACCAGCCTGAACTACCTAGTAAGACAGACTGAGCTGAGGGGTGGTATAGATACTTTCCGGTATATTTCTTACTTATCAACGAGAACAAAGGTGTTTGTGATACCAACTCCTGCCCAGTGTGTATGCTTACCTACATATCTCTTACACATTTGCAATCATATTTTTATTGCTTGTGTGTGCCTATGTTATGCATGTACCCTCTCCAGCCTATGTGTGGAGGTCAGAGAACAACTCTCTTATTCCACTCTCTTATGTGTATAGGGCTGGAACTGCGGTGGTCAGGTAGAACTCAGGGTCAGGCCTCTGCGGGTGCCTTTACCAGCTGAGCCATCTCGGCCCCCGCCCCGGGTGGGGGCGTGTTTTGCTTTTTTAGTGGAATGGGAGACTGGAGCCGCTCAGTGGTAAAGACTAAGCACGTCTAAGGCCCTAGGTTCCATCCTCAGCACTTCAAAAAAGACACAGTGGAGTTCAATCCTTGTACCTAATTGCCCACCAATTTTCTTAATGTAAAACCCCCTTTCCCATTTTTTAAAATATTTATTTATATTGTGTACATTGGTATTTTGCCTGCATGTATCGAGAGTGTCAGATCCCCTGGAACTGGAGTTACAGACAGTTGTGACCTGCCATATCATATGGGTGCTGGGAATTGACGGTCCGTTGGAAGAGCAGTCAGTGCTCTTAACCACTGAGCCATCTCTCCAGCCCCCCCACTTACCATTTTTATGTTTGTTTTTTCAGACAAAAGTCTTGCTGTGTAGTTTGGGCTGACCTCAAATTCTCGCTCCTCAGGCCTCAGCGCCACCACATCCATTTTAACTACAGCAATTTAGCAAAGCACAACCTCGTCAGATTCACCCGCTACCTTGAGTGTAGCCCAAGAGAGCTGGCTGTGCAGGTTTGGTGTTCAGCCAGCAGTGTACTGAGTTCCCTTCTCTAACTTCCTCTCTGGCCAAAGCCAAAACAAACAAACAAATAAACAAACAACAACAAAGACCATGACCAAGCTGGAAATCAATGCCCTATTCACCAGGCGCCCTAGAAGTTTTTCAATCTTATTTTTCTTCAAAATACACTGACTCTGGTTTGAGAAGGGGGTTACTGTCATGTTAACCCTATATTTGGGAAATGACAAAAATGTCCCATTTCCAGTCTGTTTATAAAGATAACAATCAGCCAGATGTCTCAGACTAAATACAAGAAAGGCAAAAGCTGTCTAGTTAAGGGCACACCATAAACTTTAAAGGAAATCATGGAGCTGGGGTCATGACACACTCCTGTAAGCCCAGCATTCTTCAGAAGCCCAAAACAAGATTCTTTGAGGACAGCCTGGGCTACATAATGAGGTCTGTCTCTGAAAATCTAAGACTGGAGCTGTTGTTCAGTGACAGTGTTTATCGAGCATGAACAAGGTACTGGATTCATTCCCATAAAAGAAAAAAGGGTGGGTATCTCTGTGTTTGTGCTGTGTGTATGTGATATAATGGAAATACCCAAAGTAGTAACAAGGAATATTTATCTAGAACTGCTGTTTTATTGTTATTTCTCGATGGAGTCTCTGTATGTAGCTTACGCTTCTCCCAGGCCCCTGCTTAAAGGATCCTCCCACCTCAGGTTCCCAAGAATATAGAACTCCAGTCGTATTCTTCTGGCATCTAGCTGGAATGTGAAGTTTTGTTTTGTTTTCTGCCATCGTTGTCTTCTGCCTCTATCTTTAAGCATGTGTGTGAATTCAGTGTAATTGAAATTCCCTTTTTTGTCCATGGGTGACTTTCTCCACAGCTCATTCTCCACAGTGAATCTATAAATGGATCTCAAAGCATCACAGCTGCTCCACCAAGTAACGTTACTGAATGGATACAAAGTTCATAATCTGTGCCATTTAACTTCTCAGCAGCATTGTGAGAAGCTGACGGGACCTGAAACCTCACTATCAAGATGCTCATCACTTCTCCTCCAGCAAGGAAGCATATCATGAAATCCTTCTCTGTTAATGAAGCCATCTTTGTTCCCATCAGTCATGTTAAAAGCTCTTGAACTCTGTGACTGGTCATGCCTAGCAAACACATTGGTGGTTGTACTCCAAGGGCTTTTCTTTGCCCTCAGGCTCTACTTGATAGTCAGTAAGTTCCATCGCGGCCTTCATGGCCACAGGACAACTTCTACTCTCCAAGCTTTTAAAGCTTAAAATCCCTTCCAGATTTCAGCCCTTACCTCCTTCTACCCTAGCCTTGTAAGTCAGTCTCCCTAAACTGTTAGCCCCATCTGCAGTTCTTCAGTATTTCCACTTATCTCAGTGGTGGATAGTATCCTACAGTCCTTACTTTATAATAGTGTCACTATACTTAACACTACTGGTGTACCCTCAGAGATAGTTAAGGTGAAGCAAGGAGTGTAAGTCAGTAATAGAGCATTTGTCTAACATGTACGAAGTCCTGGGTCTGTCGTCAGCACAGTTCAGCAACCCCTCTGCCCCCACCACAAACACACAAAAGAATTTTGAAGATAGTAGATTTTATTTTTCTCATTACAATTTAAAAAGGCAAAACCAAAGGGCTAGAGGTGTGACTCTGTTCCTAGCATGCTCACCTAGCGTGCACAAAGCCCCAGTTTTCATACCTAGTACCACATAAACTGTGTGTAGAAGCCCGTGTCTGTGAAGCTGGGTGGTGGTGGCTCACCTTTGATCCCGGCACTCAGGAGGCAGAGGAAGGAGCATCCCTGAGTTTGAGGCCAGCCTGGTCTACAAAGTGAGTTCCAGGACAGCCAGGGCTACACAGAGAAACCCTGTTTGAGAACAAAAGAAGTCTATGCACTCAGGAAGTATAGAGGATCAGAAGTTCAAAGTAACCAACAACACATAGGGAGTTTGAAGGCAATGTGAGATACTGTGTCACTTTTTTCTACTTTTCTTTGAAGTTTTAATTAATTATTTGTGAGTGCTCTGTCTGCATATACACCTGTATGCCAGAAAAGGGCACCAGATATCATTATAGATAGTTGTGAGCAACCATGTGGTTGCTGGGAATTGAACTCAGGACTTTTAGAAGAGCAGCCAGTGCTCTTAACCACTGAGTCATCTCACCAGCCCCCCTGCATCACCCTTCATCCCATCATTCAAGAGGTAAAGGCAATTGAATCTGTGTGTTGAAGGCTAGCCTGATCTACATAGTGAGTTCAAGGCCAGTAAGGTCTATAATGAAGGAGAATCTGACTTTATTATAATTTTATTGAAAAAATATTTTTGTTTTGGTTTTTTGAGACAGAGTTTCTCTGTGGCTTTGGAGGCTGTCCTGGAACTAGCTCTTGTAGACCAGGCTGGTCTCGAACTCACAGAGATCTGCCTGTCTCTGCCTCCCAAGTGCTAGGATTAAAGGTATGTGCCACCACTGCCCAGCTGAAAATTTTTTCATACTGTGTCTTTTGTTCATTTTCCCCTCCCTGAGTTCCTCCCAGATTACTGCAGCCTCTCTATCCACCCAACTTTGTTATTTTTCTCCTATTTTCAAAAACAAAAAATCCACAAAATGAAAAGCAAAGCAAACAATCAAAAGACCATTTCAGAAACAAAGCAAGATGAAATAAGAAGTCCACAAAAAACATCACTGAGTTAGTTTTGTGTTGGCCAACTGCTGTTGGGCATGGGGCCTACCCTGAAGTGTGGTCAATATACCAGTGAGACTCCATTGGAGAAAATAGATTTTTCTTCTTTACCAGTGGGTATCATTTGCAGATAGCTTCTTGGTTAGGAGTAGGAACCCATGTCCACTTCCCCCTCTCAGTGTTATGGCCACATCTGTCTGGAGCCTGTGCAGGTCCTGCATATGCTGCCACAGCCCCTGAGTTCTCTCTCTCTTTTTTTTTTTATTTTATTTATTTATTATGCATACAACATTCTGCTTCCATGTATATATGACACCAGAAGAGGGCACCAGATCTCATAACGGATGATTGTGAGCCACCATGTGGGAATTGAACTCAGGACCTCTGGAAGAGCAATCAGTTCTCTTAACCTCTGAGCCATCTCTCCAGCCCCTGAGTTCTCTTATGTTCATCAATCCTGTTGTGCCCAGAAGATGCTGTCCCCTTGTCATCCCATCATTTCTGGCTCTTACAATCTTTGCTTCCTCTTCCACATTGTTCCCTGGTCCTCGAGGGGATGGAGACACCATATTTAGGACTGAGTGTTCCAAAGTCTCTCATTCTCTGCACATTGCCCAATTATGGATCTTTTTGTTAATCCTCATTTACAGTAAGAAAAAACTTCTCTTATTGTGGGGTGGGTGGGGCACTGGTCTATGGTTATAGAAGTATGTCATTGGGAGTCATTTTGCTGTCTCTCTTTCACAAAATAATATTAGGTTTTCCCCTAAGCCCATGACCTACCCACCTAGTCTT